AATAATGTGTATGTTTAGGATAATCATATATTGTTAGGATTTATTTGTTATTTTTGCTTGAAAAATGAAGGAATGAACAATTCTAATCGAAAAAGAATATTTTTCATTTTACTTATCAATTTCAACAGTTTAAATTTTTATATTATAATATATTTCTATAAAATCAATATGTAGGTCATCAAGTAATTTGTGAATAAATGATTAATAATAAATTTGTTGTGAATGAAAAAAAATATATACTTCCATTTAATATTTTATTCTCAAGTAGGATAATTAATTCAATTTGAAGATAATCAATGATCAATATATAAAGTGTCTTAATTAATTGAAACAATAATATAGAATATGAAAATTTTAATATTAATATATAAGTTTTATTTCATAAGAATCATATAATAAAGTTAACTTTCTATAATTTGATGTCCTTTATAGATTTAATTGAGTTTGTTTTATAATTACCAATGACATCTGAGAGGAAGACAATATTTTTTTCAAGAAATTCATCATCGATTATGTCATCAGTTGTATATTATTGTTGAATATTTTAAAGTGAATTTTTTATGTTTTCTGAATCACGCAATAAAGTTTTTATTTAAATCGAAGTACAAAATGCTATTTAACTCCATTATTTTAATGAAGATTAAAAAGGATTGGCTCTTTAAATCATTAAAGTAAATAACTCTTTGATGTAATTATAATCTGGCATAATATCATGCTTTAATCCATCAATGTAAGACATAAAAGGCTAAAAATTTAGATAAGATTGTTGTTATAATAAAATTGTTTTAAAGAAAGATGACTTTTTGTTACCAATCTTATCTAAATCCACTTCTTTAAATCCCCAAAATTGCTTTTCTGACCAAGGCAGTTTCACTAACTTTATAAAATAAAATAATTACAATCTTTTAAGTAGCATAATACATATAATAAACTTTCTAAGTCATCTCTATATCCTATTGGCTTTCCTTAGTGTGAAGATCTACTTGCAAAATTTAAAGATCCAATAAACACATCTTTTAAAGTTTCTGAGTTCTTTATGAATTACTGTGATAAGCCAAAATCAATCAGTTGAATCAATCCAGGCTTTATGACATCTTAATCATTTGAAATTTGTTGAGAAAGCATGATATTTTCTGGTTTAATGTCAAGATGTAATATTTCTTTTTTATGAACTCTTTCTAAAATTTCAATGACCCCTAAACCAATAGTCAATATAAGAGGTAAAGTAAGTGAGCCAGATTTTGCTAAATCTAATAAGCTACTATGAAGTAATGGTACAATCAAAAAGCATCTAATCAATTAATATAAATATTACTTTTTATCTTAAGTAAATCCAAATTATTTTATTTGTGGAACACCTTCAACTCCATTCAATTTTTAGAGCATTTCTATTTCATTCTCTAACTGACCTAGTCGAGGAGATTTTTCCATTTTAATAGCATACAATTCTGAATTTAAATTAAACTAAGCCTTATACACAAGATGCTCAGATCCACATCCTATGTTTGAAAGAACTTTGTATTGTTGAATACAAGCCATTGTAAAATATCTTCCTATAAATTAATTTAGAAAGGGAAAGAAATAAAATACTTGGTTATAATAAATTAAATAAAAGGGGGATGGATTATTTTTTATAATAATCTTTTTAAATAATAAGGTAAATTATTACTTTATTAATTCTCTAAATATATAAAATAATTTAATCAATTTATTGCCAACTAATTATTCGCACTAATCAAGTTAAAATACTATCCTCCATATAAAATCACTAAAAGACTTTTCTATTCTTAAAAAAGTAAAAGTATTAGATATCATAGTTCTGTTAAATGTTAATTAAAAAAATTATATTATTATATATTATTAATATAATGGAATAATGATAAGATTCTATTAGGCTTAAAACTTACAATCAATCGATTTATTTGATACTTCATCTAAACCTGTTATGATCATGAATGGAATAATGATTATTTTCATTAACATAATTTAGAATCTATATTTTCACAAGTTGAAATATTGTAATGTTAATGAAGTATTTTAAATAAAATATATCAATAATATTCGAAATGAATAAAAATTTGATAGAAATCAAGCCAATTAAGTATTGTAAAACTTTATTTTGATTTTTGATTATATCATAATTATCAGTTAGCTAGAAATTTATTTATTTGTATTATTATAGGTATATCATATGGGTAATATAAGTTGAATAAGTTTCATAAATGGAATGCAAAAATTTTACAAAAATGGAAGTGTTAATCTTTAAATAAAAAAATTATGAACAAACTTTTCATTCCGTGTTAAATTTAGTTTATAATTTCTGTTTATCATCCTATTATTATTTCATATTGATAATCAAGTTTAGATATATTAGAAGACGACTCACAAAATAAGGTATAATAATTTAAACAAAATAATAAAACTCGTCCTTTCCTTTCAGTTATTGTGAATTATTTGAAAATCCTAATCCAGATTATCTTATAAATTCATGGAATAGCAAAAATTTTACAAACCAATAAATAACTCAAATAACTTCACATTGATGAATCCTCTTACACTTCATTTTATTTTACATCAATTATAATGTATTGTTTTTGATTTTATTAATATACATATATATATAATCATATATTAATTTAAATTTACCAATATATAGCATCAATTTAAATAATTCCAAATAATTTTATTTCAAATTAGTTAATTTAAAATAACATATAATTATTATAAGTTATATTCCATTAACAAATCTCTTTTAATAAAATTTATAAATTTTTAGTGTTTCTTTCAAATTGCAGTTAGGTAAACAATTAAACAATAAGATTATAATAATGGGGAACAACATATTGATATTGAAATTTTAATTGTTATAAAATTATTGAATGTATGAGTATTTCCTGTGATTAAGATTGAGCAGACTTAGAAATTTAAAATATCTTGATTGTTACATTTCTAATAGATTAAATTTTTTAAAATGATTAGATTTTTAATATTTATATTGGGTTTATGTTGTTAACCTAAATAGATAACAAAATTTCTTCATCCATTCAAACAGTCTCACTCGATGAGGTTAAATCTAAATCATTAATACAGGAAAATATATTTGTAATTAATTCTATCTTCCATATTTATTAAAAATTTCATTTATAATTATATTAATATCAGGGTTGGTTTAGGATTGATAGTCCAATTATTTATTATATAAGTTCTGATAGAGTTTAAGTTGCTTCAGTTCAAAACTATAAAAACTTTTTCGTTATTTTTTTATTCTAATTTAAATTCGGCTGAAATTATTCAAAAGGTTTTTTCAAATTAGGAAACTCAAAATGTTTAATATTTAGTGTTTGAGGATTAGCTTGTTTTCTTTAAATTTCAATTTTATTAATTTATCAAAACAATTATTTTTAAAAGATAAATTGGGGATTTATTCGATATTTTATTCTTTATTTTTAGTTAATTTATTAATATAATTTAATTATAAGATTATTATCAAACATAATATGAATGAGATGAAGATATTAATATATGGGACTCAGAATAAATGAAATTCCAAAAAAAATACTATTTTAATGAATTATTAATAAAAATCAAGTTATTGAAAAGATATTCATAGAATTTAGGAATTAAATCAATAAAAATCACTATTTTACCAGTAAACTTAATTACTGCTTTATTATATGAACTTAAATTTAAATAATGTAAAAATGCTAGATAGAAACAATATAATTGTATAAAGTACATTTATTTAGAATTAAAAATAGGAATCCTGAATATATATCCATTTTACAGATGAGCATTATCATCATACAGAAAATGATGAATTATATTAAAAATTATTTTTACACCAAAGACAAATAGAAAATAAAGTATTGTTAAAATTCAATCATTAATTATTATTTTTCATACGATTAAATTTTATAAGAATAAATGGATTTAAATTTTTTGTCATTAATTTACTTCATCCTTATCAGATTATTTGCTATAGAAAGTAGTATGTTTTGAATAATCACTAATTTTAGATAATCATTGTAATAGTAATGATAATATTTTTATCATTCTAATAATGCAAGTATTGATATTAAGGATCATCAATATTTTTCAAAATATAAAGACAAAATTATACTGAAAAGCATTTAGAAAAAATGCAAAAATTATTCAAATAGTTATGAATCTTGGTTTTACTTCAATTAATCTATAGTTTTAGCATATATTTATAATATTATTTTACCTTTTTAAATTAAATCATTCATAATAAATTTTCTGCTTCTAGGATATTTGATAGTAGAATTTGAGAGAAATTTTTTAGTGTATCACATTTTTATAAGAAAGTTATTTTTGCAAATTTAACAAATGTAAAATATTAAAAATTTCAACGTTCTTTTCTTGAATAAAAATTTAAAAATTAAAAAGATATTGACTTATTTTTCTAAACCTTCAGATCTACTTTACATTATTTTGAATAAAAGCCAACATCAAAAAGTTTCCATAAAATATTTAAAATATTATCTAAATAAAAAAGAAATAAAAAAATAAACTAGATATTTGAATATGCATACTATTTTTATAACTAACTTTAGATGTGATTTAAAAGATTCATAAATGATTTTATTTTCAGTTATTCTAGATTGGCAGGTTGCAATTCTCTCAATCATTAATATATATTGAATTAAAGTGCTAAATCTCTTGCATAAATTCAAATTATAACCAAGTCCCAGCTTACTAGCTATTTATATTTTATAATTTAATAGAGTATTTATGGAATATGGTAATATTTATTCAAATTAGTATTTCTGAATAAAATGTTGTTACTTAATTAATATTTATAATCCTACTTTTTTAAAGAAGATAAATTATAAATAATTAATAATATTGAATAATATAGTTTCTCTAAAGGGTTGAAACTCAACTAATAGAATATTAACTAAAAGTATTTCAGGTCAGATTTGTAAAAAATTACTTGAATTTTATTCTCTAACAATATTACAAAAAGATAGTATTATTTTTCAATTAAACAAATCTACATGCTGAGTATAATAATGATAATTTTAAGAAATTAAAAAATTCTATGTAGAAATCTACAAGTGACAATTAATTTAAGTCTTTAAAAGTTAATTAAAATGATAAATAGTTTTGTAATCAAATATATATAAAACCATTATTACATCATCAAACTTATTATATATAATATTATTGTTTTTTATGTGCGACTACATGTTTAGAGTCTATCTCATTTTAATGAATTGTTTATGTAAAGATACCTTATACTATTTTAGTAACTTGGAGTTGTGATTAAGGATAAGTTGAAATAGATGGCGAATGTCTGAATTGTTCATCGAATTGCATAAGTTGCACAATTCCTTTGTTATGTAACACGTGTATGCAAGGATTTTATGTTACCCCTATAGTTTATCAATGTGGTGCATGTTCAACTAATTGCCAAGTTTGTAGTGGAAGCAGTGGATTTCTTTGCTCAACTTGCTTTCCAAAGTTTTATAAATCTGGATCAAGTTGCTTAGCTTGCCCTAGTTAGTGTGCTACTTGCACATCTAACTCTGTATGTTAAACTTGTGTGGATCATTATTTTATTATTGGAACTACTTGCTCAGTTTGTGATACTTCTTGTAAGACATGTTCAGGCAGCAGTAGTACTTGTACATCTTGTGATGTTGGTAAATACCTTTCAAATTCATAATGTCTTCCTTGCACATCTCCTTGTTCTGCTTGTATAAACAACTCAAACGACTGTACATAATGTATTGACATTAATTAAACCGCAATCAATTTTTAATGTGTTTGTAATGATGGAAAGTACTTTGATGGATCAAATTAATGTTAGCCTTGTACAGCACCATGCTCAAAGTGTGAATATAATGGTAATAATTGTACTGATTGCATCTCTACTTTTACATTGAGTTAGACTATAAATTACAAATGTGAATGCTCATCTGGATATTATTAATTTGATTCTCAAACATGTTTGTAATGTGTAAGTCCATGTTAAACTTGTGAATAGAATTAGAATCACTGTTTATCTTGTGTTGATAGTAAGTAAATAGTAAATAGTTCATATTTTTGTGTATGTTAAACAGGTTGGATTTTAAACACTGATGGTATTACATGCATCAAATGTTAATTACCATGTTTAGATTGTGTAGATACAACAAACAAATGTATTACTTGTTAAGATTCTATACATTAATTACCTGAGTCTTGTCAATGTGAATCTGGATGGATATTAGACAATAATTACTTTTGTATACCTTGTTAATAGCCATGTAAAACTTGTGAGATATTTACTAATAAATGCTTGACATGTTTAGATACTAATCACGAACTTAATAACATATAATAATGTGTTTGCAAATCCACTTATTATTCTGATAGTCTAATCACTTGCGCAAAGTGTTAAGAACCATGTAATGAATGTGATATTAATGGATGTATCAACTGCATCGATATAAACTAAGTCCTGGATTCCAATAAATAATGTATTTGCAAATCTGGATATCNTTATGTAAAGATACCTTATACTATTTTAGTAACTTGGAGTTGTGATTAAGGATAAGTTGAAATAGATGGCGAATGTCTGAATTGTTCATCGAATTGCATAAGTTGCACAATTCCTTTGTTATGTAACACGTGTATGCAAGGATTTTATGTTACCCCTATAGTTTATCAATGTGGTGCATGTTCAACTAATTGCCAAGTTTGTAGTGGAAGCAGTGGATTTCTTTGCTCAACTTGCTTTCCAAAGTTTTATAAATCTGGATCAAGTTGCTTAGCTTGCCCTAGTTAGTGTGCTACTTGCACATCTAACTCTGTATGTTAAACTTGTGTGGATCATTATTTTATTATTGGAACTACTTGCTCAGTTTGTGATACTTCTTGTAAGACATGTTCAGGCAGCAGTAGTACTTGTACATCTTGTGATGTTGGTAAATACCTTTCAAATTCATAATGTCTTCCTTGCACATCTCCTTGTTCTGCTTGTATAAACAACTCAAACGACTGTACATAATGTATTGACATTAATTAAACCGCAATCAATTTTTAATGTGTTTGTAATGATGGAAAGTACTTTGATGGATCAAATTAATGTTAGCCTTGTACAGCACCATGCTCAAAGTGTGAATATAATGGTAATAATTGTACTGATTGCATCTCTACTTTTACATTGAGTTAGACTATAAATTACAAATGTGAATGCTCATCTGGATATTATTAATTTGATTCTCAAACATGTTTGTAATGTGTAAGTCCATGTTAAACTTGTGAATAGAATTAGAATCACTGTTTATCTTGTGTTGATAGTAAGTAAATAGTAAATAGTTCATATTTTTGTGTATGTTAAACAGGTTGGATTTTAAACACTGATGGTATTACATGCATCAAATGTTAATTACCATGTTTAGATTGTGTAGATACAACAAACAAATGTATTACTTGTTAAGATTCTATACATTAATTACCTGAGTCTTGTCAATGTGAATCTGGATGGATATTAGACAATAATTACTTTTGTATACCTTGTTAATAGCCATGTAAAACTTGTGAGATATTTACTAATAAATGCTTGACATGTTTAGATACTAATCACGAACTTAATAACATATAATAATGTGTTTGCAAATCCACTTATTATTCTGATAGTCTAATCACTTGCGCAAAGTGTTAAGAACCATGTAATGAATGTGATATTAATGGATGTATCAACTGCATCGATATAAACTAAGTCCTGGATTCCAATAAATAATGTATTTGCAAATCTGGATATCTTTAACAAGGCATTTTGTGTCTTCAATGTTAAATTCCATGTTCTACTTGTATGAATACCGTTAATGAATGTCTTACGTGTATGGATCCTAATTAGATAATCAAAGATTAGAAATGTTTATGCAAAGAGGGGTTTGTGAATAAGGAAAACTTTTGTTGTGATTAATATTGCATAGATTGTTAAGGAATAGATAATTGTAATAATTGTATGAAAGGATTCTATTTATCCACTGTTAGTAGATGTTTAAAATGTATAGAAAATTGCGATGTTTGTTATGATTAAATAAATTGTGAAAATTGTTAAAATGGATACTTTATTAATGAATCTAGACAATGTGAAAAATGTATTCCTTCTTGTAATATTTGTGACAATTCATTTAATTGTGATGTCTGCTTAGATGGATATTATCTAGTGAATTAGAAATGTGAGCCATGTAATTAAAATTGCCTGACTTGTAATGAATAATCTGAAAAATGTCTTACTTGTAGATCCAACTATAAAATTAATTCAAGTAATTAATGTGTCTGTAAAGTTGGATACTATGAATAATAGAATTAATGTTATAGATGCGAATATCCATGTAAAAAATGTTTAAGTTAAACAATATGTTAAGAATGTTTTCTTCTATCCAATTTATAATTAGATTTGAATTTTCAATGTAATTGCAATTCAGGGTATTTCTGGAATAAAAACAATTGTTCTTAATGTAATTAATCTTGTTCAACTTGTGTTGAAAATTAATATTATTGTTTGAGTTGCGATTAAAGACTTAATCGTATTTTAGACAATAATAGATGTTTATGTAGTTAAAATTATTTTGAAAGCGAAAATGGAATTTGTATTTCATGTTTAGAATTATTGGGCAAGTCTTAAGAAAGTTGTAAATATTAAGATTGTAATGATTAAATTTGGACCTATGGAGAAGAATGTGATGATGGAAATGATGTAAATAGAGATGGTTGTTCCTATTGTAAGATTGATCATAACTACTCTTGTTCTAATGAAATACTAAAGTAATCAATTTGTTTTTAATGTTCAACTAATTGCATTAAATGCCAAATGAATTCTTTAACAAACAAATCTACATGTATTTAATGCAAAGTTGGCTATTTTCTAGATAAAAATGATTGTGTTGAATGTTCAATTAATTGTTTAGAATGTATTGATTAAGATTATAATTGTATAAGTTGTAAGTTCCCACAATAAAAGAATCATAAATGCTAACTTTGTGAATCAGGATATTATGCAGATGAGATAAATGGAAGATGTTTATAAAAATGTGGAGATTACATAAAAGTAAAGGAGGAGGAATGTGATGATGGAAATCTTGTCAAAAATGATGGGTGTGATGATTAATGTAAATTAGAAAATAAGTATATATTTCTAAATGGTGTAAGTATCATACCAAATTATCCTAAACCATAATTATAAAGTGTAGGAACTTCATAGATTTACTCAGCTACCAGATTATTTAAATTATCATACACTACTCCCATTGTTGTGACTGATAGTTTTCAAATTAGAGATTATCTATCTTTTCATATATAGAACAACAATAAGATTTCAAAAATGGATCAGTCCTTTAATCTCACTCAAGATACTTCTAAAATTAATGAGTTTAACTAATCTGAATTACATTTGATAGTAAATATCACTTTCTCAAGAAGTTCACAAGACGAAATCCTATTGATCAAATTCTTAAATAACTCTGTAATTTATTCAAATGAAGGGTACTCCCAAATTGAAACAGAAGTGTCTTGCAGTATACCAAAGGTAACATACATTGATGATGTCACCATTGCTTAAGTCTAAATAGCAACAAATAGTAACACTTATATACTATACTTTATCGGAGCAATGTGTGGTGGATCAGTGTTATTTGGAGGAATTGAAGTCTTTTTTAATTTGTTGGATACGCTTCAAATGCTATCTTATTTGAAATACATTAACACTTAACTCCCATATAATTTATAAACCTACTTTCAACTTTTTGGATTTGCTTAATTTAATTTTATCTAAAAGATTTTTGATTTATCAGGATTTATTGATTAAATACTGAATACAGAAAAATTAAAAAAGATACCAAAAAAAGTAGCAAGTGATGACTTAACATCACTATTTATTATTAATGCCGCAACAATTACTACAGTTTGGATTTCTTTATTCTGTATCTATGCAATTGCAAAAATAATACCAAAAATTCTATACTCATAAAAATTTAAATTTTATTCTGAATCAGCAGCCGAAAATTCTTGGCTTGTCTAAGTTGGAGTATACTACTTAACGATTAAGTATAGTATTAATCGATTGTGCTATGCCATTATTTCGGAATTTTTTTATAGCGGAATCTTACGTGCTCATATGGCAACTGCATATGATTTTACTTTCAGTATGGTACTGTAATTGTATGCCTTGGAACTTAACTCTCCAAATTTATTAATAAGATTTAGTTCATTTTTCGCTTGTTTTGCTAGTGCAATATATATTTTTAGTATATATTATGTAATACAACTCTCCTAAATGTAGAAATATGCTTTGAATACTAAAGCTATCTAAGCTAAGTATGGATCTATTTTTGAAGGAATTAAGATAAATCAATTTTCCAAATATCTTAATACAATAATTCTAATGAAAAAACTTATCTTTATGCTTTTATTAATTTTCGCATACGAGTTTCCAACTTTTTAAACTGTCAGCATTACACTTCTATCAATCTCTATGAGTATATTTTACATCTTCTTTAATCCATTAAAGGACAAATTGGAGTATATTAAATAGTTATTTAGTGAAATTAGCATCTCTTTTACATTGTTAAATATTACTATATTGACTTGTGATTTTGAATTAGTATATTTTTCATACCAGATTAGATAATATCTTGGATGGGGTTGCATTTTTTTTATGACCTCATTATTATGTATTCAATTAGTGATTGATGGCTTTTAATAATGGAAGTTTCTTTTTAAAAAGTATAAGCAAATTAGAAGAATAGCTAAAACAATACTTGGAGTATTTAAAAAAAACACAATAGCTACTGCCCCATCTAATATTTTCCAATGATAAATATGATTACAAGTATATCTCAAAAAATTAATTGAAATATTACAATAATAATTATATACTTTAGTTATATTTTTATTAGTTTCTTAATGTATTTTCTTTATTTTTTAAAAACAAAGCAACAGATTTAATAATAAAATTAAATAATTAAATTGATTGCTTTATTATTAATCTTGAGATATTTTAGTTTTACTTTTTAACACAATTTTCAACAAATAACAAATTATACTTACAAGGATTTAATACACCACAAAATAGATATTATTAAATTGAAATCAATTTAACCTTGATATTTCTATTCAAATTGATTAACTATTATAATATCAAAATGTTTTTAATACTAATATTTGAAGTAAAATGAATAAATTTCTTATATATTCCCTTTATCAAAAAGAAACATGATATAATCTCAAAAAATAATTAAAGTTATCCTAAAAAATAAACGTTTAATCTTAGCCTTTTAACTAATTAATAAGGGTATCAATAAGATATATATTGAAGATAGATCATCAGTTTAGATTAGGCTAACAAAGTTTAAATTACAAATTTTAGAGAGAATTAGTCTCACATTAACTTAACAAAGATGATGATAAGTATTAATTTAAATAGATTTAAATAATAAATTTACATTAAAATTATTGAACAAATTATTTTTAAAATAAAGATCAAGAAATATTTAATTGAAAAAAATTGTTCAATGTTTTTAAAAATATTATATAATAATTAATATTGGAACTCATTTTATTATGTTGGATTTATTTTAATTTTACAAATCTAAGATTTATACAACTATAATCAAAATATTGTTATTTATGTAGTTATAGATAATATATATATACATATTTTAATTTCATAAATAACCAATAATTGATTTGTATAATACTATTTTTCTTTTTAATAACTTAAAAATAATCCTTTTTCTATTTTAAGGATTTTTGACAATTTTTTACCGAAGTAATAATGTTTAAGAATAAATCAATTTTTTTTGACTATTTACTTATTCATTATAATTTACGATGTATTATTTACCTTAAATAATATTTCAGGTAAATAATACAATTACTATTGATATAAAATTTACAGATAATATTTCATCACTCAATTCATTTATTCTTGTTTATCTGGTTATGTAAATTATTTGACTAAGACAATTAAAATAATTTCAATCCATGTTAATTCACAATCAGAAAATAATTTTAAATTTATTAAAGAAAATTTTTATTCCTTTTTTTTGGGACAATCGCTGATATACCTATATAATATGAAGAATAAACTTTAATATATTTATTGTCATAATAATCACTACGAATCCAGTATTAACTACATTCATTTGAACCTTTTAGTTAAATTGAATCCAAAATATATTAAAAAATTCTAATAAACAAATTTTAATGACTTCCTATAAATCTCATTCTTTTTGAAATTCAATTTTATTATATAGTTTATTTTTAGTTTTATTGTATATTCTAAACATTATAATATAAACAACACATATTAATTTAGTTTTACCCGAAGTTTTTATCCCTTCTATTTTAAAGGTCATTTTTTATTCATTTTATTTAATGTCTCTTTGATACAAATTTAATCGACTTTTTATATTAATTTAAATTCATACAAGAATTATATAATTATAAAGAATCTATATATTTTGTTAAATATTCTTATAATAATATATAAAAAGTAGAGTTCAGATTAATAATTTATTGTCCAATTAGCTAATTATTATTGAGAATGCTTGTAAAGGAGTGAATGGATAGGCAATATCAATGTTTAAGTATTTGCCATCACATTTTCCAAACTAAATTGCTATTTCTTTGCTCAATTTGCCATCTTCTTTTAATTATTTAAGCAAAAAATTATGAACAGATGCACTATTAACTCTTGAATTAAATGGAAGAGTGTNTATGTAGTTATAGATAATATATATATACATATTTTAATTTCATAAATAACCAATAATTGATTTGTATAATACTATTTTTCTTTTTAATAACTTAAAAATAATCCTTTTTCTATTTTAAGGATTTTTGACAATTTTTTACCGAAGTAATAATGTTTAAGAATAAATCAATTTTTTTTGACTATTTACTTATTCATTATAATTTACGATGTATTATTTACCTTAAATAATATTTCAGGTAAATAATACAATTACTATTGATATAAAATTTACAGATAATATTTCATCACTCAATTCATTTATTCTTGTTTATCTGGTTATGTAAATTATTTGACTAAGACAATTAAAATAATTTCAATCCATGTTAATTCACAATCAGAAAATAATTTTAAATTTATTAAAGAAAATTTTTATTCCTTTTTTTTGGGACAATCGCTGATATACCTATATAATATGAAGAATAAACTTTAATATATTTATTGTCATAATAATCACTACGAATCCAGTATTAACTACATTCATTTGAACCTTTTAGTTAAATTGAATCCAAAATATATTAAAAAATTCTAATAAACAAATTTTAATGACTTCCTATAAATCTCATTCTTTTTGAAATTCAATTTTATTATATAGTTTATTTTTAGTTTTATTGTATATTCTAAACATTATAATATAAACAACACATATTAATTTAGTTTTACCCGAAGTTTTTATCCCTTCTATTTTAAAGGTCATTTTTTATTCATTTTATTTAATGTCTCTTTGATACAAATTTAATCGACTTTTTATATTAATTTAAATTCATACAAGAATTATATAATTATAAAGAATCTATATATTTTGTTAAATATTCTTATAATAATATATAAAAAGTAGAGTTCAGATTAATAATTTATTGTCCAATTAGCTAATTATTATTGAGAATGCTTGTAAAGGAGTGAATGGATAGGCAATATCAATGTTTAAGTATTTGCCATCACATTTTCCAAACTAAATTGCTATTTCTTTGCTCAATTTGCCATCTTCTTTTAATTATTTAAGCAAAAAATTATGAACAGATGCACTATTAACTCTTGAATTAAATGGAAGAGTGTATGATTAATATTTTGAACTCCAAACAGGCTCTAGCGTCTTAAATTCAAAATATTCTTAATTTCTTTTATTTAAGAATCTGCTTTTGATTTTTAAACCTGTATTTTCATCTGTTGGAATAATTTATGATGGTTGACCTTCTATTAAGGAAGGAATGTATGCTTTAAAAAGATTTCCTTCTAAAAATGTTAAATATCAAAATAATACTTCTGGTTTTTAATAATTGGTACTCATAATGTATGAATGCTAATTCTTTTCTTAAGTTTGCTTTGTCTTTTGAATTCTTGTAGGAAAGTCCATTTGAATACAAAATGAATTCAGTGCCACTAAAATTAGACCTAAAAATCACATTAAATAATACTCTAATGTTCCAACAAAATCAAGTTCATTTTCTGATTTGCTTAATAAAAACTGATGACTTCTTGGGCATTATGATTTTTTAACTGAAAGTAACAGTTTTTGGGTCTTGGAATGATAAAAATTATATTTTAAATGGCGACCAAACCATCCTTTAACTATTTTCACATCACATTCTAAAATAGTCCCTTGAGGAATTATAGAGTTTAAAAACTAATCAGTATTAGTAGGTAAAAATTCTTCTCCTGAAAGTGGAAGATGTAATGGACTCTAAATGATTAGACTAGGTAATTTTTAATCTTATGAATTTTCGAATTCATGGCCATCGTTAATTATTTTTTATCTGGCCATATTATCATTATTCTCAATTATCTGATCAGACATATCGAATAGATATAAAAGTATTAAATTAATTAATAAGATTAGCATAGATTTTATAGCAAACATTTAAATACTAAAACGACTTAACAATATTAACAAAATTAGTATAAAGGTATTTGTAATCAGAATTTATGATAACATTAAGAGATGATAATATATTATTCACATTAGAAAATACTGTTAAATTATTGTTGTAATGAGATGCAAGATTACTAAAATTTTCTTTTCTAGCATAGGTTGTTTGAAATAACAGTAAATGCAATCTAAATCGATCTCGACAATATTATATTTAAGTTCCAATTCCATTAGTTATCCACTTAAAATAATATTAATCAAAATGGGATAGGAAATATATAACAATTAGAAGAAATATTCTAATCCTTTATATTTAGAAAATGAAAGTGTATTTTACAAACTATAATAGATTTAGCATTTGAAGTATTAAATTTTAAACAAGAAGTTAAGGAATAAAATAAAATTTTGGTCGCCTTGATAGATCAAATTTTATAAATTATAGGAGGAGAACCGAGGATAATAATACAAACAGTATAGGATTGAATTCTGACCAAAGATTTGATAACAAAAATGATAATTTACAAATTTAAATGATTGAATTATAACAAAAGATTGTACAACTTTAAAGAGAATCATTAAAGAATTAAATAGATATAATCATATAGAACAAAAAATATTTTGAAATGATTACAATCAATAATCAGTATAAAAACAATAAAGAAGATATTTCAGTAAATTTTTTGTTAATTTTCATAATGAACTTTTTCTCGCAGCAAATTAATTATCGAGCAATATTTATACAAATAATTAATTTAAGTGTTAAGAAATATTTTTTAATCTAAAAGTTATGAAATTTTAAGAATAATAATTCAGATCTTATGAAAATATCAAATATAAAGTAAGATTAACACAATTATATTTAGATTTATTTTGAGTTAACTTTTTATATGATTAAAATTAATTTATAATAATCAATTTTAAATTCTTTTTGCTAATTTTAATATCACTTTTGAATTTTCATTCCCTGTTGCTTTGACCATCTAAGCAAATTCAGTATTTTTAGTGATTTCTAAATCCTCTATTGAATTACATAACAGCATTAATGGTCTATCATATTCAATAATTTTGCCATCTTGCATAACCATAACATAATCATAATCTGCAATAGTGTTCAATCGATGTGCAATAGTTATAATAGTAGCATCAAACTTACTAATCACTAATTGAATAAGATCATCTGTTTTTTAATCTAAATTAGCTGTTGCTTCATCCAAGACAATAATTTTTTTTTTACTTAGTATGATTCTAACCAAACAAATTAATTATTTCTAACCTACTGAAAAAATAGAATTAACTTAAGTCATGTCAGAACCTAGTTTATTTGGCAATTTTCTGATATATTCATCTAATGAGGTTTATTATAAAGCATCCCATAATTCCTTGTCTGAATATTCATTAAAAGGATCCAAGTTTCTTCTAATGCTTCCACTAAATAAAAATGGACTCTAAGGAATAATACCAATTGAAGACCTTAATTAATGTAAGCCTAACTTTTATATATTAACATCATCAATAATTATTTATCCTTTTTCTATTTCTGACATTCTAAACATTGCTTATAATATTGAAGACTTTCCTGCCCCAGTTCTACCAATTATTCCAATTCTTTTTTTATAGGGAATTTCAAAATTGATTCCTTTTAAAATCAAAGGTGTATTATATCTATATCTCAACTCAACTTATTCAAATTTCACTTAGCCAACTGATGGCCAGTTTTAAACCTATTCAAGATATTATGGAGCTTCAGAGGTTAAATCAATGATCTCATACATTCTCTAACATGATGACATCATTGCATGTACTTATATCATTTGTCTCATACACCATTAAAATTGATCATTAAAGATAGTTAAAATCAATAAAGCTTATGAGAATATAGATTTATTTTTATAAATTCCAATCACAATCATTGTACCTATTACTGATGCAAACCAGCCAGATAAATGTACTTTGTATCCAAAATTTGTTGAACACTAATAAAATGTAAAATTAGATCTTATACAATTATTAGATAATTAATTAAAGAATGATTTAAAGTATTATTATTATTTATATAACTTTATCTACACTATTCCATTTAATGTATTCTTAAAGAAATCAAAAAGTGGACTTTTTTAAATTGAGTCGCATTCTTTAGTCTCTATTATAATTTTATAAGATCTTGTTAATATATAAACTTAAAAGCATATTATGAAAAACATAACTATTACAAAATAAGGAAGTATTGATATTAAAAATGCAATAGAAACTAAGAAATATGAGTTTAACTCAAACACTTCCCATAATGATAAATTCATTGTAAAATCACATAAACTTTTGTCATTTGAAAATCTATTAAGTATCCTACCTGATGGATTAGTATCAAAATATGAAATAGGACTTTAACTTAATGAATTTATCATTTAATCATGAGTTTATTTTGTACCTGATAAAATACTAAAAGTAGTGATTCCATACTTTATTAAATTTAATATCAAAGCTCCAATACACAACATTCCAATCAATAAAAAGAAGGAACCCTCCTCTTCATACTCAGATATAAAGAATATGTATAATTATAATAGAACTTCTTAACCAAGATAAAATATTATCATGATGATTAATAAAAATGGACATGACCATTATTTAATAAATCTCTTATAAGTATCAAATGTGACTGGCTTTGAAGTTAATTCTTCCTTTTTATATAATTCATTATCTTATTTAGTTACATTATTTTTATATTACACCTATTATTCTTGTTATGAGAATGTATCTGTAATTAAATTTAAATGTTAGTTTACATCTTTAAATTCACCACTAGCCATGATCTATCCTTCATTCATAATTATAATCTAATCACATTCAGGAGCAAATTAAACTTAATGAGTAACCAATATAATAATCCTTTATTTAGCCAATTATTTGAGATTATTAAATATAGATCTAGATACTTTAGCATCAACTGCAGATAATGGATCATCTAGTAAATAAATTTCTGCATCTTCATATAATGCCCTTGCTAAACTCAATCTAGCCTTCTATCCTCCTGATAAAGTGAGTCCTTTTTCTCCTATCATAGTACTATCACCTTTTTCCATATTTTGAAGATCCATAATCAAATTAGATTATTCTAATACTAATTAGTATAAACATTCATCCATTGGTCTTCCAAATAGAATATTCTCTTTAAAACTAGCTGGAAATATAAAAGGTTCTTATTCTACATACCCAACTTTCCTATTTTTGATATCATCTCCATTTAATAAAATTGAACCAGTCGTTTTTGGCATCTCACCAATAATTGCATTCAATAATGATGATTTTCCAGATCCAATTTTTCCTATAACAGCATATAATCCAATATTAAATTTAAATGATAATTTAATCTATGGCTATCCCTAAACATTCCAATATCCTTCAAGATTATGTAGAACTAACCCATCTTCTTTTTATTGATAATCTAATAATTATTAGGTTTATGTTATTTCTTCCATAGATAATACAACCCGCATTCTTTCTAAGACTATTTTTAAATTTGCAATAAAATCTAATCCAAAAGATGACAAATTAACGCAAAAAAATCTAGCAAAAGCAGCTAATTATAATGTTGATAACATTATTGAAACATTAATTTCATAAAATTCTCCATAATGCATAATCATAAAAAATATTGCACTTGCCCACATTTAACTAAAAAAAGTAGTTCCTCTCAATATAACATATTAGAGATGTGTTAATATATAAGCAAAATGTTCTTAATGTGCTAGATTTCTAATACTTTTAATAAAAGACTATTCCCACGCATACATCTTAATTAATCTAATACCTTCAATAAATTCATTTGTCAATTTAACTCTTTAATCTGCATATTCCTTAGTTTTTTTGACTAATACTGTAATTCTATGAGTGAAAAACAATTAAATAGGATAAGCAAGAAATAGTAAAGCCAATAATAGTAAACCTTAAGGACCATCAAATCTGATCCATAAAATAGCAGCTGTTAATCCTAATGCTATTGGTAGATTTAATACAACAAACATATAAATTAAGAAAGGTTCCAATAAATTTAGATCTGCTGATATCATATTGATTATTTTTCCTTAATTTGTATTTTTGATTTAATAAGTGTGTAATTTAAAGATTTTATGATAGAGTATATTAGCCATACTCATTCTTACAATTGTAGAATATTCATAACCTATTGAATAGAATTAATGTTGACATATGATAGATAATCCATTTAATAAAACTAATCCTATACCATATGCATATTTAATTGGTAAGTCTTATTATATAGAATCTATTAGTGTAGATAATAAAATAGATATTCCACATTTTGAGATTGAGAAAAGTGCTAATACAAATAAAATTAAAGCAAATTTTGATTTTTATTATAGGAAAAATAGTTTGAATAGGGACAATTTGGTAATTTCAGATGATTTTTGATTAAGAAGATTCTCAAGTTTATCAACTTCAATCTTCTAATTATCCTATAATGGAGGTGTATGTGAAAAATTAAATTTAATGTCTTTACTTACAATTTCAGTATATAGATTATTCATATAATCTTATACATTCAATAGAAATATTCTTTTGAAGATATTAGTTTCAGCATTCAAAGGTTTAGAGTAAAATTCCTCTTCATTAAGTATTGTATTTAGATTAGAAGTATCTAATTTAACAGTTTCTTCATTCTTTTACATAATTAATTATTTATTACTATAAACTATTTTGCATATAAAAAATAACTATACTACTTATATTATATTTTAATGAAAATTTTAAGTTTAAATAAATTTTCTGAGACATCAAGGTCTTTAATAGTTTCAAAATTTATACTAGTGATATTAGAATTGATTATTACTTGTTAATGTTTAGGTGCTACTCATTAAAATATTTCAGCTGGAATTAGAGCAATACCAACAGCTGATGAATATGAAGAGGCATAAGTTTAGTAATAAATAAAACTAAAAAAGCATTATAATATTTTTGATATTGTGTATTCTATTTTAAGTAGCACAGATTGGTTTAAATATGTTAGCTATGAATATTCATTTTGATAAAGTAAATTCAATTTTGTGTATTTATCATTTTGTTGGAGTTTGGACATTTGTTTGTTTTCTATTTGATAGATGGAAACATAAGACTATAATGTATATATGGGTAATATTTTGGTAATGAATAATTATGTAAACAAAGTATAATTCCATTTTTGTTTGAATTTCTAACATCTTTAAATGGATATTACTATTATGGAATTCATGAACATCGATAGATGGAAGCCAAGAGATAAGCACTGTTAGCTGAATAATAGAAGAAGAAGAAATAGGAGGAAGAAGAAGCAAAGAAATTAGAGGATGAGAATTAACCTCTTAATCCTTAAGATGGAATTTAAAATGCTATGTCTTAATGATATTTAATTTATTATATATTTATGGACATTCCTTCAAAATGTATTTCATTTAGTCCTAATTGGTTTTATCCACAGATTGCCTAAATGAATGGGGATTTGTTGTGTTATGGAGTCAATGACTAAGTTTTTGTTTATAATAGTGAAACAAAACACTTTAAATATACATTACAAGGATAATAAAAAGTAACAATGTTGTATTTAAAAGATCAATACATATTTGTTGGTTAAGAAGGTGGGGTTATTACTATGTTTTAACAATAGAAATATTTGGGTAAGCTTGAATTTAATATTGAAATTCCTATGATTTTAAAGGAAATCAATAATTAATATTTGCTATTAGATAATAAAGGTATAGCACTTGAATTTAAATTAAATGATAAATTTGAATTGATTCATTTTGGATTGAAATTAATAACACAACCTCATAGTATTCCAAAATGGGGAGATGAAAATATAGTCATTTATTAAAGTGGCAGAATGTATAGATTTGAATAAAAATCAGAATATGATTATCCATATCATATTTTATGTGTTGATAGATATAAAAATAAATATGGAGTTTTAAATAAATTGCATAAAGCAATTAGTCTACATGTATTTCAATTAGATTAAATAGATGAATGGAAACAAACTAATACAATTAATGATAATGATATTTTCATTGAATTAAAATTTATAGTTAATGAGAAATTGCCTACTGAAAATCTCAAAAAAGCTTCTTTAAGTATTAAATTTTTAGATGATAAACAAATTTTTGTTACTTCAAAATAAGGAGAGATCTTCTTAATTTAATTAACTAATTAAGTCAAATCATTAAAATTAGATGCTAATGTCATTTCTGATAAGCACTTTTATAAATTACCATAAGAAATTCATATCAAGGGTATATATTTGATGAATAACTATCTAAATCAATATTATACTGTAGGTTTAGATAGAAGAATATTTTCATTTCGTGTTGAAGATGGATAAATTGTTGATTATCACAAATTCGTTTGTTTAGCTGGTAAAGTCAACAAATTATAAATTGGTAAAGAAAAGAATTTAATTTATTTTCATGATCAAACATTAAAATCACTTGATTTAACAAAAAATAAATATCCTACTTACATAAATGAATTTTGGAAAATTAATGATTTCTCTAATTTCTATATTAGTCCATTTTAAGAAGGAATTGTATTTATACAAAAAGATTAAAAGATTGAATTAATTGATATTTATAAGGAATAATTACTTGACAAATATGTTTGTGAAGATCCAATTTCTAAAATTGAATGGCTAAATAAAAAATAAGTATTAATGTTATTAGATTTATTTGATGTTGAATAAATAAATAAAGATTAAGAAAATGAATTCCTTACTAAACCACATTAAATTTAAGATTATGTCTTGATTATTATGTTAACTGGTAGAATGTAACTTATTGATTTGTCAACTGGATAAGTACTATTTAATTTCTTAATATAATAAAAGATTAAAATATAATAGTTAATTAAAAACAAAACATTTGATATTGTTACAATTAACATGAATAGTATTTAATTTCTATTTAACAATGATCTATGTTATATGTTTTATATCTTTAATGGATATCATGTGTTCTATTACCAGAAAAATCATTTTGATACTAAATAAATTCATAATACAGATATTAATTGTATTGATGTTAGTTTGTACAAGAATAATATTTACTTACTCACTGGTTGCAATAATTAAACTATATCGATAAATGTAATACATAATGAAATTATATTATTGGGATATTTAAAACATAGATTTCCTATACAAAAAGTTTAATTACAAAATGGATTAATTACATCTTTAGCCAAATGTCATTAATCTTTGTAAATTTGGAATGTCAATGAAATTCTATAAAGAATGATACCTAATAGATAAACTCTTGAAGGGTTGGAGAAAGCTAATATTAGAGGTCATAGTGGTTTTTTATTGGATTTTGTATATTTCACTAATAATTTGGTTATTACAAGTACAATTATAGAATTAATTTTAGGTTCTGAAGATTAAACCATTAAGGTGTTTGATATTGATGAAATATAAAATAAATTACCACCAAATAAAAAGAAGAGCAAAAAAAAAGTGAAATTAGACAATCAATAATAAGATTGAATATATATATATATAAATATATAATATTAATGAAACATTCTTAATTAGTTCACCTACTGTCCAAATAACCTTAATCTATCGATTATTTAGGGGCTACTTAAATGAGTACTCCAAGAGCTTATTAACAATCATAATAAACTTTGACTTTACCACATAAATTGACAACATTGAGTACAGCCAACAGTAAAGAATAAAGATTATTGACAGAAGGCAATGAAGATCTTGAAGTCTAAGTAAACTAATTCAATGTAATAAGAAAATAAAAGATTTGCAAAATAGATTGATATCTAGATGTACTACGTTAGAATTCCTTATTTAAGTTATTACAACACAAAAAAATGAATTGAACAGTTTACCAACCATTTAAAAAATTGAGTAACTCTTACTCTCAATTGTTAACACATTTTAAAATACCACAAAAAATGAAATTTAGTTAGGCTTTTTAAATAGAGAGTAAAAGAAAACGTCAAGTATTTAATTTTACATTTTTTTTAAGTGTTTAATAAATAAGTATTAAGAAAGGAAGCTGAATTATTTGATAGAAATAAATCATTGTAATAAGAAGTTGAAATCAATTCTAGTAGAAGTAATAAATTAATAGAAGACAATTTAAAATTATAAAAGTAATTAAAATAAGAAAAAAATTTAAACGAAATTAATATCAAGAAAATAAATGCATTAGAAAAAAGAATTGAATTTATAGTATCAAATGATATCAATATATTTGAAATGAGATCTAATTTGACTATTTTAATGAAGGAAAATGAGTAATTGAAAAGAGATTTGGAAAGAAAAAATTAAGAGGTTGAGAGAATTCAAGGGAAATTAAATTAATATTAATTAGTAGTAAGTAGATTATAAAAAACTATTGATAATTTAAGAAAAAAGAATGAGGATGATGAAATTAGAGGATTAATTAAAAAAGATGATATTGAATTATTAATGAATTTCAAAATACCATAAAATTTAGATTTTAGAATAGTATGTTAGAAATTAGATCATCAAAATTTATTGAATGATTTATGTGAAAAAGGAGTTGTAAATACACTTTAATAGATATCTTAATAATCTTAAGAGGGTTAAAAATAGTAAATAACTTATTATTGTAATCAATTACTTTCATTTAAAGATTTTTCAGAGAGATTAAATTAATTATTATTGCAAATGGAAGAATTCAGCAATTGTTAAACTATTGAAGATCTTATTTTTAATGTAAATAGACAGTTACCATAAATATTTAAATGTGAAACAGCTAAATTATGGTTGTTAGAGACAAAAAATGGATTATTGTATTCTTATTTAGAAACTCGATAATAAATAAAGGCATTATAAGATAAAGGATTGATAGCTGATACATTTAAATTATATTAAGCATAAAACATAGGTTCAAAACCAAAGAAAGCAATAATATATAGGATAAATGAAAGTGAATAACCAGAATATGCAAAGAGTGCATTAATATTGCCTATATTTTGTATTGGATAGAATATAATAAGAGGATGTTTAATAATATTGAATTCTGAATATGAATAATTTTCTTTTGATGAAGAATATTTTGGAATTATAATTAGTAGTTTTTTAGGAAATATTATACAAAGATTGGTAGATAAGGAAAGTTGGTAAATAGCTTAGAAGTATAGAAGTTTGATGAATAATCAATTAACAGATATTTTAAGATCTTAGAATAAATAAATAGCAAGTGAAAGGATTAAATTAAGTTTTAAAAGAATATTTGGATTTCAAATGATTAGATTCTATTTTGTGGAGAATGAACAATTATTAAGTTTTGAAGATTAGAAAGAATAAAAATTTTCATTAGATTATGGATTAGCAGGGATGGCAGTTAGGAATAAGTAGAGATATATAGTAAATGATATTAAGAGATCAGTTAATTTTAATCCAAAGGTTGATTTAACAACAATCTTGCCCATTTTTGTTTAACCTTTATTAAATAAATAGGATGTGGTAATAGGAGTGATTGAAGTATAATTTTATTATAGAAATTAGACTTGTTTAAAGAATAAGTTATCTATTGATATGGAGAGGGAACACTTATTGGAAGTGAGTGAGAATCTATTTGGAATAGAGGAGCCTTTAACAAGTTAATTATAGAGTTATGTAGAGTTATTGGCAGGGACTTTATCTAATATAAAATTTTGATATAATGTTTGATTAAATTTATTATAATAATAAAATAAAGATGTCTGAGAAATAATTTGATAGTCAATATAAATTATAAGAGTAGGAGACATAATCAGGGAATAATATTGAATTAAGTAGTCCTTAAGGAAGTAGTAAAAAGAAGGGAAGAGCAAGGACAGCATCAGAAAGGACATTTAGTGCTGCAGAAACATTATATGGAAGACCAAGAAATACAGGGTCTATGATACTTTTGAGGACAGCAGATCAATTTAATAAAAAAGTTATTCATGATGTAATTAATCATTCTCCATCTAAATAACAATATTCATTTGCAAAAGCTACAAGATTCTCGAAACCTCGTTCAAGTTATTGTCAACAATAATTTTATGATTCTTAGTATATTAATCTAATTTATATTTTTAGGATACGAACATCTCTTGGCAAAAGAACTTGCAGTTTTGGATTTGGTATAAAATTCGATTTTGCCAAATTAACAGATAAGTATATTCCTCCTCCTACAGCTTATACAATAAAATCAAAACCTAAAGCAGTCACAAAATTTGGATATGGAAGAGAAGAAACAAAAGCTGTTGGGATTTATGGAAATCCAAATAAGAATCCTGCACCAAATACTTATACTCTAAAAGATACATTCTCAAATATTAAATTTTCATTTGGAGAAAGAACCAAAGCTAAACGTATGTAATTATTATATTTTAGATATATATTTGGAATCTACTACTCCATCTCCTTGTGCCTATAATGTTGGAGGTATTAGTAAAATGGGAAATTATTTTAATTCAAAATATTCAAGTAATAGAGCTCCATTGTTCTCTCCATCTTCTAATAAATCTGTCAGAATCATTAAAACTCCAGGACCAGGAACTTATGATCCACCAGGAGATATTGCTGATATAAGATTAAAAAGTAGTTCAGGTTTCAGTTTTGGAGCATCAGAAAGAAAAACTATTTAAATTCGAAATAAAGTTTGTAAATGATTAAGATTTCATTATATTAGTTCCTGGACCTGGCACTTATTAATTACCATCAGAATTTGGTGATGTTGAATATCCAGATTGATAATCATTATTAATAAATTATAATATATAATTATCATATATGTTAACATTAAATCAAATGGATGAAATAATCAAATTAACAGAATAGCATATGATTGATTGTTAAGTTAATCATGATTTTAAAGAAGCTAATGAAGTAAAATCTAAAATATTACAAATGAAAACTATTAGAGATCTTATTGAAAGAGAAGAAATTTAGGAATAATTTAAATTAGGAGAAGAAAGAATACTTTTATAAACTAAATAATAGATTGATGAAGTTAATTAATATTTTACTTAATTATTTGAAAAATTCAATTATTAAAAAAGTTAAGCACTTTAATAATTATGGCATAAATAAAAAATATAATTTTAAAAATCTGTCTTTTATAAAAGATAATAAAATGCAGAATATCAAAATTTATAAAAAATTATGACATACTTATCAAATCAAAAAGATTTTAAAAAGGCTGAATTGTATTAAGTATATTTAAAAGAAGCAAATTAAGATCATATGAGAAGAACTTAATCTGAATAAAGATAAACTCAAGAAACACAATAAAGAGTACTTAAATAAAAACATGCTCATTAAGAAGAAGTATTAATTAATAAATTTAATGATCAAGAATAATTAATTAAATTAGAAATGAATAAAAAATTATTAGAAATTGAATAAAAGAGAATCAATCAAATATCTTAATTATAATTAGAGAGAAATCAAAAAATAAATTAACTTGAAAAAAGTAGAACTAAAGTTATAAAAGTTTAAATCTAATAATAATTAGAAGAAATGGAAAAATTTACTTATATCTAAAAATGAATTAATTATTATTTTAGTTTATAATATTATATATATATATTATTGAGAAATCAATTTACTACAAGTTTCATTTGAATATCACTCAAATCTTATTGCTTTATAATCCTTTTCATGTTCAATTCCAATCCAACCATATTCTTTCTTGATTTCTATTATACCATTTCTTAGTTGAATATTTTCAATCAAACTCAAAGGATCTATGGACTATCTTGTTAGAGGATCAATATAACCATTTTGTCTAAATTGTTATTGAATACTTGATTTGTCATAAGAAAGTCCTGAATTGAGAAGGATAGGTTCTTCCATTATTTCAAATAATATTGGACAAACAAAATATTCTGGCATTTAGATTTCAATTTTTCTTTTTATATTTTATTCAATTAAATTCCAATCTAATTACAATTATTAACGATGTGAAATATCTAATAGAGTTTATTTTAGAGATTAGATATCTAATTTAATTTATAATTAATTATACTTCTTTTATCAATTTCTTATCTTATTAAATATATCATCCTTTTACCTTTAGCTAAATTTTAATTGATTAACACTCTTAATTTATTTTTTTATTCATTCTTACTTATTTTAACTTAATCTTATGCTATTTTATATATTAAATATAAATTACCACTTTCTAGTTCTTTAATACCTAGTTAAGCTTATTTAATGAGAGATTCTGTAGTATCAGGAAACATTTAAACTTCAATTAGAATGATTGTTCCATAAATAAAATGAGCTCTAGAATTATGTTCATCAATTTTCAAAGCTTTTTCAGCATCTTACTTAGCTTCTTAGAATCTATTTAGAAGTTTATTTGCTACAGATCTATTTGAAAAATAAATTGAGTCTCGATCATATAAGTTCTAATTATAATAAAGTCTTACAATTGCTTAAGTATATGATTCTATTGCTTTTTTATATTGTTTTAATTAAATATAATGATTTCCTTCTACTTTATATTCCAAAGATTTTTTAATATTTTATGAACATCTACGATTACTACTATGTGAAATCTAATTCCTTTTCTTTGCAGCTTTAAATACTTTTCTTTAAGGATAATCATATTAAATAGAGAAATTCTTCTGTTAATATTCAAATTCTGATAAAAAAGCAGATATTTCTTCATGATTAGAAGCCCTATTTCCCATTGTTTATTATTTAATGTATTTTGATTAATAAAATTATATAATTACAGTTCAATTAGTATTCTTGACTATTATTGTTTATTCTAATATTTCAGAGTATAATCATTAAATATATTCATTTTATATTCTTTAAATAAGTAATAAACTTTTGATTATAAATATTACAATGTCTTAATTCTTTATTATTTTTTATTATAGAAAATGATAACTAAATAAATTGTTTATTACTTTATAATATTAAGTATTTAAAATGAAAGGTAACAAATAATCGAAATTATATTAATAGATGCAACCATATATTTTTCATTTCTATAATTCTAATAATCATTACTTTATATAATATTAATATAAAAATATTAAGAGAATATATATCATAATAATATTGTCTTATTTTAAGATATTTATATATTATTTTAATGATAATTTAAGTTAACTAAATTAATCATTTAATTTATAAAATAAATCTTTGAAATTTAGATGGGATTATAAATGATTCATATATAAAATTTCATTTAATTATTTCTTTAGCTGCTTTAATTCCACTTTCATAAGCTCCATGAATTGTAGAATAGTAAATAGGATGATATGCTTCTCCTGCAAAATATAATCTATTTTAATGAGGTGCTGAAATTATTTATCTATAATTATCATCAATTCCTGACATTGGATATGAATACAATCCTTCAATAAAAGGTGTATTACCCCAATCTTCATAATGATATGAGATTACTTTCAAATCAACTTTATATTATTCATTTATTGTTTATACAATCTCTTTAGCAAATTATTCAATTCCTATTTCCATAACTCTATTATGAGCACTTAATCCTAATAATCCAATAATAATTGATTAATTTTCACTTGAACTATCCCACCATAAGGAATTATGATTGAATTTAGGTAAAAAGAAATCCTCTTCATGTTATAAGAATTTTTTATCCAATTTAATAAAGAACTTACCTCCTTTATCCATTCCAACTAAATTAATCTATTTTAATCTTGATTCATCAAAAGCAGGATCTACTTTTAATTTCTTAAGTTAGGTTACAGGAACACAACAAATAGCATAATCAAATGAAAATTCATTAGGATCATTATTTAATTATACTTAAACTTTTTCATTAATAATTTTTATTGATATTACTTACTTATTATATTCAATAATTTCAATAGCTTCTTTGAAGAATTTATCTATAATATTTTAATGGTGAATATAATTTTCAATTTCATAATCTGATACAAACATTGGCATATCAAATTCATATCTTCCAATTGCCCTAGCACCTATTTTTTCAATAGATGCACCATATTCACTACCATATAAAGCATAAAATAAATGAATAAATTCCATATTATATCCTTTTCTTTATAATCTTTATAATACTGGTTCATCCTCTTAAAATCTATCATTTATAAAATCATCAAGTGATTAAGACTCTTTTTTATATAGATCTTCAAATTCTTTATAGCTAATAACTTTTTTTTGTATAGGATCATAAATTGATCCTACTAAATCTCCTCCAATTTCTAATTTAGCACCTGTTTCAATAGCCATTTTATAATAATCATTATCTGGATGATGAATTGTTTATCCACCAGCCTCTAAATGTCTATCACTAAATCCAATTAAGGGTTTAACTCTACCTCCATATCTATTTGATGCTTCAAACAATCTCACATTACAACCTTATTTAATTAAATATTAAGCAGAAGCTAAACCAGCTACTCCTGCACCTATAACTAATATATTTTAATTCATAATATTAATAAAATTTAAACTAATTTTAATGATATTCAAAATATTTATATATATTTCATTATTATCTAATTTTCACAGAACTTATTTTACCATCATCCCAAGCAACAGCAAAACCATAATCATCAAATGAACAATATTTAATATTATTTTTTTCTTGCCAATCTGAGTTCCTCCAATCAAATTAGAGAACATTTTCTGGATCCTTACCTTTCGATTTTTACAAATATCCTTATATCAAAGTTGGAAAATGGAATTTATAAACAACAAATTAACCATTTGGATCAATCAATAAGCTCAAATTCTTGAGTAAAATCAATGATTACAGAAGTTCTTAAGCTCCAACACTAATAAATAAATATATTATGGTACTTAGTTTTTGAAGATGTAACTTTATTACTTGATCCTATTGGTTAAAAATCTTATTAAATTTATCTTATATTCAACGTCAAAATTTAATTTCCTTATGTATAAGTATACAATAATTAATTAATATCAACATCTTAAGCTATCAGCTATGAATTTACATCGTAACAGTCGATAGCAATATTTTATGGAAAATTAGTACCATTTTATTATAAATAGGTCAACAACTATTGAATATATATTTAATTAATTTACATCAGTTATTGGAATATTTGGTAATTATTATGACAATATTTACTATGTTCCATCCAAATAAATATTAAATAGTGGATTTGGTAATTAAATAATCATGAATCTTTAATTTTGTTGCAAAAACGTTCCAATTTATGTATTGTCTTATTAATTTAAAATTGTCTATCCATCAAAAGATAAACCATATTGTGATGTATCAATTTGGCATTGTTGTAAGTATTAATAAATATCTCCTATAGTATAATATTAATTATATGGAAGAGGTGTGATTTAAATTCCTACTGATTATCCATCAAAGTAAATACTCATATTTTTTATTTTTATTAATAGAATTACAAATAATATTTTGAAATATATACCCATAAATATTAATAAGAAAGATGATATAATTATTCTAATTATTTCATATCTAATTATGTATGATTTTATAATATTTAATAGTAAATGCTAAAGGAATTTATATATATAACATTCTTATTATAAAAATATATATATACTTTTAATGATTATTCTTATCAATATGTAATCTTCTATCCTTAAAAAATAATATCAAATATATGAAAAACAGGTATTTAAGTTAGTTTCTAATTAACCAAGAATTAAATCATTTAACATAATAAACACAAAAAAGGGTTTAAAATCAATAATTAATATTTTTTATTTAGAATGAATAGATATATGCAAAATTGATAATATATGAGATAGGTAACCTAATATAAAGAAATCAGCAAATCATTGTAAATATTATGCTGAGAATATCATAAAATACTTACAACCATGAATAGTGAAAACTGTTGTCAAAAATAGTTTATGTTTAATATTCACCTATTGATACTATTTATTCAATATCTAGGTTTAAGATAACATTTTGGTTATATGAAATACATATTTAGTTACCACAGGTATATATTAAAGTGAAATGTCTTGGAATTAAATGTTTTTCTGCAAAAAGATTCATAGTTCATTTCCAATATTATGATATTATTAAATATCAATTAATAAATACTTTGGAGATACTGATGATCCTTTATTAGAAATAACTATTGTAGACCCTTTGAATTTGATTGATTATTAATTTAATATTATTTAATATGTTTAATTAATATCTTAAATTACTTCACATCTAATAGGAATCAAAATTTATTGATTATATTTCAGATTCACTCAAAGACGATTTAAAATAATCTCTATAAAATTAATCTATTATAGAATCAAAGTTTATTTCTAAATCAAAAAGTTAAAATCAATAAGAATATGAAAGCATTTTCTAATAATAAAGAGAATCCCCTTTTTTTTCAACTTACTTAATCATAAATTCTGTTATTAGAGAATATTATGCATAAACTGAAAATATTTTAAATGAATTGTCCACTACAATAAATATATCTAATATACTCTCATAATAAATTACAATTGAATTAGTCATTTATTGCATGGACAATCTACTTTATGAATATGACAAATTACCAGAAATCAACGAAAATGTCAAATAAGTTCTATATGAAGTCTTTTATGAGATTGGAGGGAATTTCATTTAATTTATAAAGAATATAATGCAAAATAATGATCACTAACATTAATAATATAAATATATCAAGGCATTTATTAATTTATAAAGGCTAATAAAATTGATTATATCCTTTAATTTCAAGAAAAAATAAGAAACAATACATTTGATTTATTAAATTTTATTAGGGAATACTCTATATTTCACTTATTTAAAAGATATTGAAATTTAGAATTTTCTATAGATTTTTGAGATATTTTAATAATGTTATTTATAAAATAAAATGCAACTTTAAGAATTAAGTAATGTTGAATAATTTTAGGAGATTTCATTTTATTAAATATATTTATCATGTTTAAAATAAAATTATCAATAAATGTAATATATATAATTTATACAGTCAAATTCATGTAAATGGATTGATTAAATTAACTAGTTGAATGATATCAATTATTATTTAATTTTCATTTATTTGATTTAAATAACTGAATTTGTTGATAACATCAAATTTGATATCGAAATAATACAATTTAGAAATCAATAAATAATTACATTGATATAGTAAAAGAATAATAAAATTGTTGGTCATTTAATTAATTAATTATTATCTAATCCAAAATTATAATATATATTGTAAATATTTGATTTGATTTTTCAAAATTAAAATAAAGAAACCAAATTATTATATTATAATATAATTGGAGAATAATTATTATAAATTAATAATAATAATATATTAAATAGTTACCTAGATATTCATATATAAGAATTGAAAGAGTTTATTAATGACAATAATATAAATACTCAATAACTTATTAAATTTATTTAATACTTATGTTAATATTACCAATTATTTAATGAAGAACAAAAAATAGTATTCAACTCTTCACTTATTCAATTTTTTACTTAAGAAATCAAAGATCAGTAATATTATAAGATATTTGATTTAAAAATTTTAGAAAACATTGAAAATGAATAAATTTATTAATAAATAATTGATATTGCTATTTCAAATTCCTCTAAAAGTCTATAACATAGCTATGGTTTCTTGAATTTCATCTAGAAAGTTAATTATATAATTTATATTATTTTAGTCAACTCAACTAAATTCTAAAAGTTTTAAGCATATTTTGAGATATATTACTATTTTAATGAGATCTTGTAAGAGAAATAAGTAAGGAGTATATAAAAATAAAATTAGTTATAAAAAGGGAAAAGGAACTTAAATTCTCAATTATTTATATTTAAATTTAAGATATTTTGTATCATTAGTTAAATATATTTATGATTTTATAATAAAGAGTTCTAATAAAAGTGTTGAATAACATTAAATCTATATTGAAATCTATCATAAAATCACATATATAATTTATATGATTTTTTGGTTGACTGATGATAAATATATTATAAATTTAGATGAAATTTAATAAATTTGTGTAGAATTATGCTAAATTCACTATAAATTTACTATTAATCTAATTATTATACTTTAAAACAATGGAAATCTAGAAAAAAATATACTCTATTAAATAATAAATAATATCAATGCTATTGCATATGGATAGGATTATATCATTTATATTAAGGATAATTACTTTGATAAAGATGAAAATTTATTAAATACTTCAAATCTATATACTTAATTAAATCAGAGAAAGATTCAAATGAAGTTAGTATTTAATTAATTTTATGAAACAAGTATAAGTATTTTATTTGAAGTGCCAAATATATTAATAGATAGAAAATTCTATTTACAAATATTAAAATTTTAATTAAAAACATAAATTTCACTTATACTTTCTTTTTAGGATTTCTGTCCTAAATTTATATTTTATTTCAGATTAGAAAGAGATCCAGAAATAATAAATTTGATGTAATAATGCATAATCATTGTGATTTCTTTAAATTAAGATCCTCAAATAATTAAATAACTTTTTGAATCATTAAGTCAACATTAATCTACAATATTGATGAATGATTTAGATGATCTTTAATTAGATGCCAATGATTAAGATTAAATTTAATTAGGTTACAGATTGGCAAATTTATAACCTTATAGAATTCCTTTATTCTAATAGAGCAATCATTTAATAACATTAATAGATGATAAAAATTATTATACTAAAGTTTTCAAAATAATTTTAGAGATATTTTAATCAGTTTATTAGAAATGGCAGTAAATTTCATAATAGGAATAATCAAATCATTTATATTTTTAAGGAGGAGAATCATCAATTCAGATGAATTTCACACCTATTCCTATATAGATAATTTAAGTATTGATGAAATTAAAACTTAATATTTAAGAGAATGAAGATGATAATCTTTAAGACTTAGATGAAATAAAATTTGGATCATTTATAGATAATTTTGAATATACTGAAAAATTAATTTTATTTACTTTAGAATTTACTAAAAATCAAGAAATTCAAATAGCTATTAATTAATAGACATTTTTTATTATTTATAAATAAGATGAAACCTATTAGGAATAAGATTATCAAACTAATCTAGACTTGTCATAATGGTTTAATTTAGATTTTTAAATAAAAAATAATTAATATCTAATACTTAAAATTAATGAATAAATATTTAATTTTTAATTAAAATCACAATTGAATTAGTAACTCTAATTTTATAAGTTCATTTTGGGAATTAAATTGAACGATAATATTTGGATATAAAATGAATAGAATAACTATTATTAAATTTAATATAATAATTCATTGAATTTAATGAGTTAATATTCATTTGAGGGGCATGTATCAGAATTCAATTTAATAATAAATAAATATAAGATTTAATTTGAATAAACTAATAAAATAAATACATAAAAACAAACAATAAACTTCATTAATACAGGAGTCATAAGAGAAAATGTATATAAATTTGATGATATTTTTTTAATTACACCATATATGCATAATTAATTTAATACATATTTACAGAATGTCTATTTTTTGAATATGAAATAAGGAATTAATTTTATCTAATAATGTGGAGGAGTCAACATCTTTTATATGATTTTAGATTTATTATATGACTTATGTAAAAACACAAATGTAAGTGATTATGAAGAAATTATAATGTTAATATTGGATTTATTCAAAGAAAATATTTAATTTTAGAATAATTTGTTTAATTCTTAAAATCTATAATATCTTGAAGATAATTGTAAAAAGTGGATTTAAAATAATGAAAGAATTTCAAATGAATTCATAAATAAATTAATGTCTATATATAATATAATCAAAAATGAATAAGCTTAGATTTAATATCTGATTACTATTATAAAGATATTGGATAATAAATTGACTACTTTAGAATAAATAAAGATTGTATGTACAAAATCAGTAATATAGAATATGATTAACCAAAATTGTTTAAATGAATTAATTAATATTCATTTATATTTTGAAAGTAGATATATATTTACTTTGGTTTCTTTGAAAAAGAGTTAAGAATTTATTGATATTGAAGCTATTAATTTATAACCATATTCCTTAATTAATTGTATTCAATATTAAGGAATTGTATAAATTGCTGATATAAATTCCATTAGTAAAATTTTTAATTTAATATTAATTTAATAATCTTTTAATTTATTCACTTTAGATATATTATAAATAATAGATATTTTAATAGGAGAAAGAATGAAATAAAAAATTAAATTAAAAGATGAGGAAGAAGAAGATTTAAATATTTATAAAAATATCATTATTTAAATTTTAGATAAGTATTAAAAATTGTATAAAACTAATTAAGTATATTTTTATGAATTAGAAGTATTTGATAAATTGAATGAATTGACATTTTCAATTTATTTTTCAATAGTTTAATAATTAAGATATAATTCTAAAGAAGATGGAGAATTGAATTAATTATAAATTTATTATGATTATATTTCACATAAATAATAAGCAGTAATTGGATATTGTTTAATTTCAAAAATATTATCTTTAATTAAGTATTTTGAAGAAGATATACAATTAGTTAACTAATTGTTAAGATTTATTAATTAATTGTATTAATATCAATTAATAAATGATTCAATAAATGAAATAATAATAATTTGGTTTTTGGATTAATTTAAAAATATTGTATTAAGAAAATAACAATCAGATATTTTATTAATGAATCTAATTTAATTATAAAATTATACTTTATTAATCAAACATCTTATGACTACTTATATAAATAAAAATTAAAATATTTCTGATTTATTCACATATTGTATTATTTATCTAATAGAATTGTATTCAAATTTCACAATTGAAATCTTATATTAAATACATATTTAAAGCTAAATAATAAATAGTGATAGTTTTAATTTATATTTATAAGCTATTTATCCTACAATAATCTAATTTTATGCATTAAAATAAGTATAGTAATTTTAAGTTAAAGAAGATGGAAGTAAATTAATAAATATCATAATAATATATCTACATATTGAATAATGCATAGGAGAAATTCCAAATCTTGAATCTATTAATTGGGATAAATACTCTTAGATAATGGACAAGGGAATTGATCTATTTAATTATTTAGATATCTTATTTTATAATCATAATTTCTTTTTACCTTGTATTGAAGATACTTTTACATTATAATAGATTAAAGAAGATTATGATAAATTAAGAAAGTAAAACAATAGACTTTTACCAAATGGAGGTATAAAAAGGTTAATGATATAATTAATTGCACCATTTGTTAAAATTCCATAAATGAAGAAACCAATAAAAAATTATTTATCTATCAATAAATATAGCATAGAAAGTAGAATTGATTAATAAAGTTGTTAAAGAATTAAATTATTAATTGATGAAGAATTCTCAGTTCCTTTATTACAAACAAAGAAATAATACAAAAAAAAATTAACAGAATTGTTATATCATTAAGATAATTATAAAGAGTAAATGAAAAAAAAAGAAAAAAAATCTAAATTAATAAATCATTCAAAATTTTATTAACTTTTAGTTTATTATTTTTTATTATAAGATAATTCACTTAATAAGATAGATAAGTAAGAATTAAAAAATTAAAATGAAATTCAAGAAATATTTAAAAAATATTAATTGACTAAATTTATTAAATGGAAAATGGTAGATCATAATTTAATTGAATGCTTAATATATAAAGAGAAAGCTCAAAAATAAATATTCATAGCTTTCAATTAGCTTAATAAATTAAAAAAGTAAACTTTATAAAATTAAATATCAATAAATAATACTTATGATTTATCTTAAATAGATTCAATCAATGATGAATTAGCAAATATCATTAAATTAAGTATATTCATGGATATTCAGATATATTATGAATTCATTCATAAACTTTGGTTATTGTATCCTAGAATTATTGATCCTCTAGTAATACCAAGAACATAAAGTAATTTATTAGTAGATCCAAAATTATTGGATATATCTTAATTTAGAGATATTTATAAACAAGATTTGAGGATTAAGAATTTAGATTAAGAGGAAAAATAATAATTATAGTTTATNCACATATTGTATTATTTATCTAATAGAATTGTATTCAAATTTCACAATTGAAATCTTATATTAAATACATATTTAAAGCTAAATAATAAATAGTGATAGTTTTAATTTATATTTATAAGCTATTTATCCTACAATAATCTAATTTTATGCATTAAAATAAGTATAGTAATTTTAAGTTAAAGAAGATGGAAGTAAATTAATAAATATCATAATAATATATCTACATATTGAATAATGCATAGGAGAAATTCCAAATCTTGAATCTATTAATTGGGATAAATACTCTTAGATAATGGACAAGGGAATTGATCTATTTAATTATTTAGATATCTTATTTTATAATCATAATTTCTTTTTACCTTGTATTGAAGATACTTTTACATTATAATAGATTAAAGAAGATTATGATAAATTAAGAAAGTAAAACAATAGACTTTTACCAAATGGAGGTATAAAAAGGTTAATGATATAATTAATTGCACCATTTGTTAAAATTCCATAAATGAAGAAACCAATAAAAAATTATTTATCTATCAATAAATATAGCATAGAAAGTAGAATTGATTAATAAAGTTGTTAAAGAATTAAATTATTAATTGATGAAGAATTCTCAGTTCCTTTATTACAAACAAAGAAATAATACAAAAAAAAATTAACAGAATTGTTATATCATTAAGATAATTATAAAGAGTAAATGAAAAAAAAAGAAAAAAAATCTAAATTAATAAATCATTCAAAATTTTATTAACTTTTAGTTTATTATTTTTTATTATAAGATAATTCACTTAATAAGATAGATAAGTAAGAATTAAAAAATTAAAATGAAATTCAAGAAATATTTAAAAAATATTAATTGACTAAATTTATTAAATGGAAAATGGTAGATCATAATTTAATTGAATGCTTAATATATAAAGAGAAAGCTCAAAAATAAATATTCATAGCTTTCAATTAGCTTAATAAATTAAAAAAGTAAACTTTATAAAATTAAATATCAATAAATAATACTTATGATTTATCTTAAATAGATTCAATCAATGATGAATTAGCAAATATCATTAAATTAAGTATATTCATGGATATTCAGATATATTATGAATTCATTCATAAACTTTGGTTATTGTATCCTAGAATTATTGATCCTCTAGTAATACCAAGAACATAAAGTAATTTATTAGTAGATCCAAAATTATTGGATATATCTTAATTTAGAGATATTTATAAACAAGATTTGAGGATTAAGAATTTAGATTAAGAGGAAAAATAATAATTATAGTTTATAGTTAAAGACTAATTATAAATACTTTAACAAGAATTAAATAAATTTATTACCCATAAGAAATTTAAATTTCAAGTTTTAGAGAGTATGCAATTGAAAAAGATAGAATATTCAGAAGACATGACAAGAAAAAGACCATATTTAAAAATAACTAAAATAATATAATTTTATAATTCATATTTAGAAACACCTAATTAAGTTGGTAAATTAATAAAGAGAACTAATACAATATCATCTATAAAAAAAGAATAATTAATTTAATATAAACTAAATTATGCATTCAATAATATTAAAAAAGGATAATCAGATAAAAATCAATTAGGGATTACTAAATATTATTGTGAATATATTACTTAAGAAGGGGCTTATTAAGGATTTTTAAGATTTAATGAAACAAATTAATGTATTTAGTTTCAATAAGAAGAATTAGAATTCTAAGAATTATTTTCTAGTCCAGAGGTGATATAAACAACAGAAGATTTATTTCTTTAAATTTCTCTAGCTTAGATAATTAATATATATCCAAGAAGATTTTTATTAATGGAAATTGCTATAGAGATATTTATTAATAGATAGAATTACTTTTTCAATTTATTTAAAAATTAAGAATAATAAGAATTATTATAACAATTTAAAAAGAAATAAGTATAAGTAATTGATCCAATAGAAGAATTTAAGAAAATGAATTATTAATAAAAATGGGTTGAAGGAAAATTATCAAACTTTCAATACTTAATGTTAGTGAACACTTTTTCAGGAAGAACTTATAATGATTTAAGTTAATACTTTGTATTTCCATGGGTCATTTCAAATTATTATTCCTAATAAATTGATTTCAAATAAGAGAATGAATAAAATACATTTAGAAATTTTAAATTACCTATTGGTGCAATTTCAAGAAAACCAGAATAAATTATTAAAGAATACCAAGACAGAGAAATATATTTAAAAGATGAAAACTATCAACATAAATATCATTATTCAAATATTTAAACTGTTCTAAATTATTTAATAAGATTAAAATCTTATAAATTGATTGAACATTCAGATTGGTTATTTTTTAGTATAAATTAATAATGGGAAAATAGTATAAAATATGATAACAAAGAGTTGATTCCAGAATTCTATTATATGCCTTAATTTCTAAGGAATATGTATTTGTATTAGTATATTTAGTAATTATCTCTCTTTTGAGACATCATAATAACAATCAAACATTCCTGATGTAGTATTACCAAAGTGGGTAAAAACATAAACAGCAGAAGAATTTGTTTATAGAATGAGATAAGCTTTGGAGAGTGATTAAGTATCTAATTAATTAAATAGCTGGATAGATTTAATATTTGGAATCAATAATAATGGATATAATGCAAAAGAAAATATAAATCTATTTCATTATCTAACATATGAATAAAATTTACAAAAGATATTAAATTAGAATTATAACCATTAAACAATTCGATCATATTTAACTAAACTTTATTATTTAGGTTAAACACCTAAATAATTGTTTCAAAAGGCTCATTAAAAGAGAATGTATAGTTTGTAATTATTTACAAATTAAATCCCCTTTTTTGGTGATAACCCATATAAAAATAATAAGTTTATTGTCTTTTAATAAAAGAAAATAAAAAATTAATTAAACAAATCATAAATTCTAGGATTTTATCCTTATTCTAAAAAACTTAATTATATTTTGTAAGCTGATGATGAGAAATATAATAATTTAACCTTAATAAAGGCTAAAAATAAAGAGGATTAAGGCTTTTATTATAATTAAGTCTATCTTAAATAGGAAAAGAAATTGCCAGAGATAAAAATAGATGGATGTAATCCTTAGAATTTATTTGCTTTCATTTATGAACAGGAATATAATTTTGGAGATTGTTATGACTCCTAATTTTATAGTATTTTTGAAGAGAAATAGAATTACAATTTATATTTCTGTTTAGTTGGATTCTTAGATAAGAGTGTAAAAATCTATGATTTAAGGAATAAAATGAAGGAATTAGATATAGATATTTCATTAAAAAATGTAAAAAGAACATCATGTGTTAGATATCATGCTGTATCAAATATTTTAGCAATTGGATCATTGGATGGATTATTATAATTATTTGAACTCTAATTCAGACCATAAATGTAAGCAAAAGAATTATTTACAAAATAATTAAAGAATGGAATTTTATGTATAGATCTAACAGATTTTCTTATATTAACAGTAGACTATAAGAATATAGCTAATCTATTGACTTTAGAAGGAAAGTAATATATAATGTATTTTAAAGTTTATTACATACAATTTATTTGGATAGTTATGATAAATTTTGGTAATGTTAAATTTAGATGTATTTTTTGGTATTTAAGAGTATAAATTCATAAATTTGTATATTTACATTAAATGGTTAATAATATCTAAAGACTATGAATTTATTAAATAGAGTTACTAAGAATATTATGTTCACTACTCCTTTTTCATCTAAATTTGTATAGCCTGATATTTATTATATTAGTTGTTGTATACATTGAATTAAAATATAAAAGAAAACTTGTCTAATTTTGTACCTATCATTTATATTTTTGATATATTTGATCTGAAATTACAGAAATAATAATTAGGAAGTTTAAATTATGAACAAATACTGTTCAAATAGGAAAAATTAAGGGGAAGTGAAATATCAGCTCTACATATAAGTTTTGATAGATATTAAATCTAAAAAGAGTATTAAATTAAACACATTTATTTGATTGCAACAGATAATCAAATATTATTTTTTATAGATGAAAAATATGGTATGATATTATTCTATATAAATAGATTATAAACTGATACTAAGATAAAAATTGAAGGAAGGAGGACTCTCTATTATTTGAATAACAAATTAGATTATCATAATTAAATAATCATTTATATTTTTATAATTAACTTATTGTTCTATCTCTAGGATTTTTAGGTAGTTATGGTAGAGAATGTTATGAACTCATAACTTTTGGTAATTTAGGTTTGCCTTATTTCAATATTTCATTAGTAAGTGTCAATAATTATGAGAGATCTTTTTATTTTAATAACAATTTTGGTAATGGTTATTAAACATCAATTTTGATAGGTTTTGGTTCTTCTGTAATTAATAATTCTTCCACACTTATATTTCCATCTATCCTAATTGAACCTTCTTTTACNTTGCCAGAGATAAAAATAGATGGATGTAATCCTTAGAATTTATTTGCTTTCATTTATGAACAGGAATATAATTTTGGAGATTGTTATGACTCCTAATTTTATAGTATTTTTGAAGAGAAATAGAATTACAATTTATATTTCTGTTTAGTTGGATTCTTAGATAAGAGTGTAAAAATCTATGATTTAAGGAATAAAATGAAGGAATTAGATATAGATATTTCATTAAAAAATGTAAAAAGAACATCATGTGTTAGATATCATGCTGTATCAAATATTTTAGCAATTGGATCATTGGATGGATTATTATAATTATTTGAACTCTAATTCAGACCATAAATGTAAGCAAAAGAATTATTTACAAAATAATTAAAGAATGGAATTTTATGTATAGATCTAACAGATTTTCTTATATTAACAGTAGACTATAAGAATATAGCTAATCTATTGACTTTAGAAGGAAAGTAATATATAATGTATTTTAAAGTTTATTACATACAATTTATTTGGATAGTTATGATAAATTTTGGTAATGTTAAATTTAGATGTATTTTTTGGTATTTAAGAGTATAAATTCATAAATTTGTATATTTACATTAAATGGTTAATAATATCTAAAGACTATGAATTTATTAAATAGAGTTACTAAGAATATTATGTTCACTACTCCTTTTTCATCTAAATTTGTATAGCCTGATATTTATTATATTAGTTGTTGTATACATTGAATTAAAATATAAAAGAAAACTTGTCTAATTTTGTACCTATCATTTATATTTTTGATATATTTGATCTGAAATTACAGAAATAATAATTAGGAAGTTTAAATTATGAACAAATACTGTTCAAATAGGAAAAATTAAGGGGAAGTGAAATATCAGCTCTACATATAAGTTTTGATAGATATTAAATCTAAAAAGAGTATTAAATTAAACACATTTATTTGATTGCAACAGATAATCAAATATTATTTTTTATAGATGAAAAATATGGTATGATATTATTCTATATAAATAGATTATAAACTGATACTAAGATAAAAATTGAAGGAAGGAGGACTCTCTATTATTTGAATAACAAATTAGATTATCATAATTAAATAATCATTTATATTTTTATAATTAACTTATTGTTCTATCTCTAGGATTTTTAGGTAGTTATGGTAGAGAATGTTATGAACTCATAACTTTTGGTAATTTAGGTTTGCCTTATTTCAATATTTCATTAGTAAGTGTCAATAATTATGAGAGATCTTTTTATTTTAATAACAATTTTGGTAATGGTTATTAAACATCAATTTTGATAGGTTTTGGTTCTTCTGTAATTAATAATTCTTCCACACTTATATTTCCATCTATCCTAATTGAACCTTCTTTTACAGTTGTTGAATTTACAATAGATGTATTTAAATTAACTCGAGATGGTTCTAAATCATTAATAGATGTATCTTATATAATCTTTTATAATTTAACTCCTCCTTATAATCCTTATACATATTATTGATATTCACTTTTTGTTAATTTTAATCCCTCTTCCCATAATTATATATATTAATTATTTGAGAATGAAGGTCCTTATTTTTAATTTATACCTTCAGTCAAAGTAACACCTTTAGCTACTTCAATTTAATCAAATACATTCTATTATTATTTCTATTAAAAATTCATTTGACTTCCCAAAAAAGGTTTATCTCCTTCTATTTTTACATGAGCAAATGATTTTCCAAATTCTATAATTTTATTCTTTTCTTATAACTAAACCATAGAACTTACTCTAGGTCTAATTGGTGCCAATTATTCAACCTAAGGTATATTTTATGGCATAAATTTCCCCTCATAATCAAAAGTATATTTCTTATCACCTGTAAATGAACTTGCTAATAATCTAATCTATCTCAATTATTCTTTTTTTTCTGCAATCCTTTATTATTCAGCCTACCATTTTTATTATCTTAATAATTAATCTCTTTCCAATTATTATCTCAATCCTTAATCAAATGGATCTTCTTCTATTTTTTGATACATATTAACAAACTCTGGTTCAAATGGTTCAAATTGAGTTTTTAGTATTTGTGAAACTCTTTTTATTGTAACAGAACTTCTCTAATAACCTGGATTAATAGAAAAATGAGATTTTGTTACACTATGACTAGTATGTGTTGTCTAATGAAACTTTAAATCAATATTTGCAATATAACTTCTCCAACAATCTTAAATTCTTCTTTCTGGTTCTGTTTCTAGAACCAAACCTTAATTAATTTTCTCTGTCATCATTTCATCAGGTTCATGAATCCCTAATGATACAACATCTTCTGAATATTATAATGTCCATTTTGGCATTATTATGGGAATTGATTATTCGATATGCTTTTCTATTAAAATCACACTAGAACGCCTTAATATCTCTCTTATTATTGAACGAACTGCAATCAAACTTTATGATATATCAACAGCTATCTCTCTATAATCTTCTAATTTTATCGATTATTATGAACTATAAGACATTTTATGTTGATAATTTATTATATTATTCTGTTTTTCATTAGACTAATACATTGATATCATTCAAAATTCAATAATAGTTTCATCAAATTAGTTGTTAAGTTAAGTGTAACATGATTCTTATTATTAATCAGAATAATTCAATTATCAATTCAATATATTCTGATATATAATAATCAATATAAGATACTCATATTTATTTCTTACAAATATAATTTAATTGAGGTAATAAATAATTTAATGGAAGCCATTTCAAATACTAATTTCCCTAAACTAGTTTTGAATGGAAACATTGAGATTGTTTAGTATGTTGATTAAGAAAGCTTTAAATAACTTGGAAAACCAAAAGCCAAATATTCTAGAATTTCATAGCTTCCAACCAATTTACAAAAACTATAATCAGGCTCTCTGGTGCATTCTCTATTGTTATGAAATTTATTGATATGTCAGATATGTAATAATACATTACCATAATTCATAATTTATAAAATATTAAAAATCATAAAAGAATCCAATAGTCTTATCATATTAATTTCCATATTAAATTGAATAATATTGTTGGAATAATGTAAAAAAAAGAGTATTAAAGTAAATCTGAAATTCTGAAATCCGAGAATATTATTAAGAATATTTATTGAAATATGACAGAGACTATTAAATAAGAGATGACTCCATTAAATACTAACAAACCCGAACCTTCTACATCAAAAACACTCCGAAGTAGAAAAGTTGTTGATTTAGTTTTCTAAAATATTACCTATGAAATAAGTAATTATTAAAGAATATTATTAGAGAAAAGAGTAATTCTTGATAATATAAATGGTATCTGTCCTGGTGGACATGTTACAGCAATAATGGGAAGTTCTGGTGCAGGTAAGACAACATTACTGAATGTGTTGGCTTGTCGAATTACTAATTCTAAAACCAATAAATTAACTGGGAAATTATTGGCCAATAATTGTCCATATGACTATGAAAAGTTTTCTTAATTTGCTTCATATGTAATGTAAAATGATGTTTTAATGGAAACTATGACTCCTAAAGAAGCACTTGAATTTGCTGCCAATCTCAAATACAGTGATACTTAAATAAAGTAATCTAGAGTTATTGAGACACTTAAATGTATGAGATTGGAGAGATGTTAGAATACATTTATTGGAGGAATTAGTATGAAAGGTATTTCAGGTGGAGAGAGAAAAAGAACATCAATTGGATATGAATTAGTATCTAATCCTAGTTGCATATTGCTTGATGAACCAACTTCTGGATTAGATTCTTTTACAGCTTTTTAAATTATGTAATTATAAATTTTGATTAATTTATAGCCATTAATTAAGAAAATTAGCAGATGAATAAGACAGAACTATTATTTTTACTATACATTAACCAAGTTCAGATATATTTTTATTGTTTGACAGGATTATGTTATTGGTTCAAGGAAGATTAGTATATTAAGGATCTAGAGAGAATATAATTAATCATTTTAGTAGTTTTGGTTTTAAGTGTCCTGATCATTCTAATCCAATGGATTATTTTTTATCTATAACTCATTCTGAAGATAAGTAGAATATTGAGAATTACAGTTTATATTTTGAGAATTATTAATAGAAATTACAAAAATAAATAGAATCTGAAATTTTGAATTGTTGTAATTCAGATGTACCATTAAAAATTAATGAAACTTCATTTACATATTAAATAGGTGAAATATCTTCAAGAGGAGTTAAAAATATAATGAGAGATCATATGCAATTTAGAGCAAAAGTAATTTAAGCAATATTCTTGGGTTTATTAAAAGGAGGTGTATTTTGGGGAGCTGGTCGTAACAATGGTAAATTAGAAGATTTATTATCAATATCTGGAGGTATTTTATATTTATATATAAATATATAGCTTTGTTTTTTATTTGTGTAGATTTTACAATGAATGCTATTATGTCATGTATTTTAAGTTTTTCAGTAGAGAGAGAAGTATTTTTGAGAGAAGAGAATTCAAAATTATATACAACAAAATCTTATTTTTTAGCTAAATAACTTATTGAGATACCATTTTGTGTTATTTCACCATTAATATAATAAATAATAGCTTATTGGATGATAGGATTAAATGATTAATCTGGAGAAGTAGTATTAATACATCTCTTAATATCAGTATTAGTATTTGTTTGTTCAAATTCAATGGGTATTTATATTTATAATATTATTTTTAAGGATTGATGGCAGGAGCAGCATTCAAAGATATATAATTAGCATTAAATATTGTACCAGCAATTGTAACTCCATTAATCATTTTTTCAGGATTTTATTCAAATTAAAAGACTTTTTATCCTTGGATTGGATGGTTATAATATTTAAGTCCAATGAAATATGGATTTGAAGCAATGTCTTATAATGAAAATGAAGGGAAGTATTATGAAAATGATCCAGAAGAACTTTATGGTTTTGATATTGGATTATGGTGGTGTGCACTAATTCTATTTGGATATATTGTTGTATATAGATTTCTAGCATTTTTATTCTTATATGGTTTAAAATAAAAACTTCAATGATATTGTATATATATTTATTGATATAATATTAATATAAATAAAATGGAAATTCATGAATAACCAATAATTAATTTATTGTCTTTCTTACATTTGTAGAACCCTATTGGTGATTATTGTAAAAATTTATATTAAAATAGTTTTATCTGCAAATGTTCCAGATACAATATTTTATGAGAATTCAATTCCTAAATTATGGTTTTTTAGTAAGAAAGCTTAAGTGAGAATGAAATCAAGAATGAAATTAGATGATAATTACATTCGTTAATATTTTTTAGAATTAAATTAAGAGATAGTGGCAATATGGAGAACAAAATCAGAATTATCAGTTTTTAATAAAGAAAGTTTAACAAAATTCTTTTAGAATTAAGGTTAAAAAGATGGAATCTTATAAAGATTTGTTTATCCAAAAGGAAATTATAATTAGACAATTATAATTTAATGGAGTTAGAATTAAACATTATTTGAAAAGTTTGAAAGTAAATTTATGTTAAATGATAAATCAATTGATATTTATTAGAGAGCATTAACTCATGAAAGAGATGGAACTTTAGCTTAATAAATAAATAGTAAATCATTAACAGAAAGATTAGAACATTTTAGTGGTGCTATTGCTGCACATGGTAATGATTTAATGAAATGGAAATCTAAAATTATTAGAATGATATTAGAAATCAAAATAGATAATTCTGGTTAGATTTGGCTTATTAATTGTGTTCTTATAAAATGGTCTACATAAGAATAAGTACATATGAAATCTCTTAGTCTTCCATCTTTTATTGATTAAGAAAAATTAATACTAAAATAATATAAAAATATACTTAAAGATAGTTAATGTGAGATGTGTGATGTATTATTTCATAAAAATGATTTAATGAAAACATATATTAAAAACATAATTGAAAGTTGGAATTTTGATCATATGGGTGATAATGATAAATTATTAATAACAAAAAAGAAAGAAATTCTACTTAGAAAGAAAACTATGGCTGAAAAATTAGATGTTAGATAAGATGTAGAATTAAGATAAGTTAATTAAAATTATTTAATACCTACTTTAATTAGAAAGATATTTCCTAAATTAAAATATAATTAATATAAAGAATTATTAGGTAATCCAGGATTTTTAGAAATGGAATTTAATGTTTGTTATAATTGTCATATTCAAATTGATAAAGGAGTTAATGTATCATAAGATCTAAGTAAATTAGCAAAATAAGAAATGTTATGTCCTGCAACTTATAAAGGAATTTAAAAATTAAGACCTGAAGTTTTAAAAGATCGTTTAATTGTATTAATTATTTTTAATAATAGACTACAAGAAGAGAAATATTAAGGAAAATAGCTAATCATGGACATAGAAGTGATAGAATTCTACCTGTTTCCACAAGAATTTTTAATTCAACAAATTCAAGCAGAATTATAGGAATTTCACCTATAAAAAGTATGATTACTTCTATATTACCGAAATATTCTGTAATAACTTTAGATACTAAAATTAATAAGAATGCCACTACTAGAACACATTCAAGAAGAGTTAGTGATTTAAAATGAAATATATATATATATATCAATCTTATTCTTTATAATAATAAAATTAAACATATATATTTATATTTAATAATTGTGGTTATCTTATATATTCATATTATATATTATTATTCATTAATATTATGTAACAAATATAATATCATTCTTTTTGCTCTCTATTTTAATGTAATTTTGAATACTCTTTCAAATCATCTACACTAAAGTATACACCATTTGCAGATACTCCTGAAGTATTATTTGTATCATATTTCCAGGTTCCTCTCTTACTACAATTTCTTATTTTTATTGGTTATGGTGTAAGTGGTCTGCCATTGTAATATTAGATACCAAAAAATTTGCCATTTCTTAATCCCTTAAATTCTTTAAAATAAATTATTTACTTTAAAATGTGCTTCAGTAATAATTATATATTTATTTTCTGGCCAAGTCTTTCTCCATACTTTAAATCCTACTCCATTATTAGGATATTATGCTAACATTTCTGGTAAACTTTTGTATGGATGTCTACCAATAACAATCAAATCATTAAATGTATATGTTCGAATTGCTTTAGAAAGCATTTCTTCAGCTGCTGTCTTTAGAAGTCCTTACATTATATTTAATCAATTGATTTATTCTTATTTATAAACATAAATCTCATAATAATTCGATGAAATCAAACAATTTTATCTTATTCCTATAAATTTTATATGGAAATCTTGTTTAATTTCATGGAAACACTCCCAAAAATTAGTTTATAATTGACTCCATAATTTTATTGTATTATCATGACTACAAGAATACAAAATCTTAGAATCGTTATTGAATTATATTTAATATACTTTCCCTTGATGACCATACAATACTTGTATACAATCATAAGAATCATCTGTCATCTAATCATATAATCTAATTGATTGATCCCAACTACATGAACCAAATAATGTATTATTAGAACAAGCTATTGATTGTACTTTATCTGAATGATAATAAAACTGCTATTTGAAATTCCATTATTATTTCTCTTTTCTCTCCCATAATCTAACAGTCTTATCATAACTACCTGATATTAAATATTCACATTAATTAAGAAATCCTAATGAATAAATAGAATCAGCATGTCCTAACAACTTTTGAATCTTTACATAATGATCTGATTTATATGACCAAATTAATATTTCCTAATTACTAGCAGATCCAATTAATTAATCCTAATTTCCTATACATAATGCTGTTATCCAATCATCATGACCTATCAAAATATCATGAATTATCCATTTCCCTTCACATTTCCAAACTTTTATTGTCCCTTCTCTCCCACCAGTAATTAAAGTATTACTATATTTACTGAAAACTATAGCATTAACTATATCATCATGTCCTTTTAAAACAGTCTTTTTCATTGTTTATAGATTCCATATATCTATATCTGTATTTAAAGTCACTACTGCAGCCATATCCTCATCTTTTGATAAATCTAATTGAGATATTTCTCTTTCATATTTTGGCAAAGTCTTATCCAATTTTACTAATTTCTCTTAATTTATATTTAATTCCTCTAAATCACCCAAAACATTAGATAAAACTTCAACATATTCTTCTAAATCATTGCTTTTAAATTCTATTTCTTTTATTGATACTTAATCTTCTATAAATTCAACATCTTTTGATAACATAATTCCTAAATCTTCTACATCTTTCAAAGTCAAATTACCCCATCCAAAGAATCTTTCTTAAAATTCACTTAAATATTCTTTCTCTGTAAATTCTTTTAATTTACTATCAAACATTTCTTTAATCTTGTCTAGTAGACCTATAATTTATTCATATTTTCTATTGAACTCAAACTATAATGATTATATTAATTTTATAGCATCTTTCCTTCTTTTATCAATATAATCTTGCAAAACTTCATTAAGATAATTTCTATGTAATTATATATCATTGCATCTACATTATTTGCATAATGCTCTCTTATTTGTAATATTTTAACCAATATTCACATACAATATTTCTAAACCATGTATATTGCAATTTAATTTAGCCAATTTTGCTTCAAAAGATTACATTTCCTATAAATTAAATTTATAATCTGGATTTATATTAATCACTGTACTCAAAATTAATCATTAATAATATATATTATTTTATTTCTAATCTAAAGAATTTAGAATTTAATTATATATATATATATAAATTATTAAATAAGAATAGATCATATCATTTAAGTTAGTATAATAAATATATTGTACTTTCAATAACAACTAATATTATTTATAATAAATGTTTTATTTTAATTCTTGTGTAATATACAAGTTTAACTTTTTATAATAGAGAAAAAGAATATTATTTAATATACCATAATAATAATACTTTTTGGTTATATAATTTATTTTATTATGCCTAATTTTATAATTATAAAGTGAGATAAATATTTAATTTTTAAATATTATTTTTCATTCACATTCTTGTACTAAATTAAAATTTCTAATCTAAAAAATGAAGATAATTAAATTTTTAGAAATGATGACCATCTCCTTTATAAAATTTACTCTAAAATTCAACCCAATGTAATCTTAAAGAATGTAAAAAACATTCTAATGTATCCATACACATAAGAACTCCAAAAGTTGCTAAAGAATATACTATAAAAGTTAAACATATTCCAACTATTGATCCATTTTATATTTATGGTTCTATAGACATTTTAAAAAAGACCTAAAATATAAATAATAATAGAATACTTCAGATAATTGAGAATGTGCTAAACTAAGTGCCCACAATCTCAAATATGAAGCTGTATTAGACACAGCCCCCAATACAAATTCTATGCATTCAATTAAACTTTCAATATAAATCTCTGAAAAATCAAAATGCTTTTCTTCTTTAATAACTCTATTCTATACTAATTTACCAAATATTTAATATTTCTCTTCCTTTACTAATTCTACTTAAGCATGTTCTTATTCTACTAATTCATTATAAACCATTTATTAATTTCTTTGATTAAAAAACCTTCTTTTTATACGAATAACTTCAGGTTTAAGCAACATAATTATTGGAGAATATATAGCTATTTTTATTAATATAGTTTAAAAGTAAACTTAATGAGGATACATTTCAGCTCCTTTTATTCCTCCTAATGTAAAAACCATATTTAACAAAGTAGTAATAATTGATGGTGGTTCCAAATTATTACTATAATTAGTGAGCCATTTAAGGATTATTAAAAATGACATATAGCCAAATGTAGATAACATAAAAGCCAATTCAGGTAAAAAGTTAAAGAAGAAATCAATTAATTTTCTTTAATATAAACAATTCCAACCTTTCAATAGGATTCCAAAGACCATTTGAATTACTCCAACGATTATTGCAGTTTTCATTTTGAATGAATTCATAACTGTAAGATGGGATTCTGACATACTCCATTTACCATCAAAACCCAATTAAAACTTTTCTAATTTATATTCTAATGATATTGAAAAGAAATCATTATAAATAAAACCACAATAAGTAGCAAATAGTCCCATTAGTGTTATGAGATACCTACATTAATATAAACTCTAAAAGTCAGCATATGCTAAATATTCACTGTGATTTTCTAATTTGATTCTTTTCATAATACTCTAACCAAATATCAATAAGTAGAAACCAAAAATTGTTAATACTATCTATATATAGAAAATATTTTACTCCGTGTCCTATGTCACCAAACATCATACCAAATAAAAATGGAAATGTGATTATAGTGAAAAGTCCAGGATTTATTTCATCATATCTAGGAATTCCATAGGTATTCACTAATTCTTAAAAGATATGAGTAAATTAATTTGTTTTCAAAAGACTAGGGGGTTCATATGATTTTTCATTAATATCCTACATAATTTCTATTTGAACTCCAGTTTATTTCATTAATTCAATATCACTTTGTTCACACCATACTTAACCAATTAAAAATTAAGACTTTGCTTCAAAAAAAGTAAGATGATAATATGTTGCACTTATCATATCTAAAATTATCTTCAATTCACAAATATATGAACAATAACCATAATCATAAATAATATTCAAATCTAATAATTACTCCATTTAAATATCAGAAAAAAAATCTAATTATTAATCTATTTCTTATTTGGTTGTTGATATAGTGATATCCAAATTAATTAATTCATTTTATAATTCAATTAATTTAGTTTCAACATTATTTTCTTCAGGTAATTAATATATGGATACATTAAAAGCCTTAATTCATTAAATATATAAAATACTTCACATATTTTTAGTAATTTATTTTTTAAATTCTCATGTTTACCTAGAGTAAATACTAACGTAAAGAGAGTTCTTTAATTGTTCAAATTCTAAAATTTAACAATTCCATTTTCCTTTGAAATTCTAAACACAATTCGATTAAATTTGTGTGAATCTAAAGTATTCATGCATCCAACGATATATCCTAATTATATTCCTGAAAATTTGTATACGAATTCTTTACAATGTTATATAACTGCGCTTTAATTTTATCTTATATATTTACATTTATTCTTCTAATTTATTTCTTTATTCAATTATCTACTACAGATTTGTTTATTGATTTAATATAAATTGGACTTTATGTGTTAGATCTTATTCTATTTTTATTACTTAGTCTTCAGTAATTTTGATGTTTGATATGAATTCTTCATAATTAGGACAATAATGTATTTATTTGTTATATAAATTTAAAAGGTTTTTGATCTCGCTAATTTTGTTATATATATCATCACATCTTTTTAATTATTTGTAATAATCATGTTCATTAAATGGATTGTTTGAACAATTAACTAAATTAACATTGTTCATTTATCCTATTTTAGTAAGGAAATTGAAAGCTTATTCTCTTTCAATATACAATTTATATAGATGTATTTCTGTTGCTCTAAACATTTTTATAATAATAACTTTATTATTCTAATTTATTAACTATCGAAATATATATTGTTGTTATGAGTATTTAATTTATAGAAATAGATAAATATATTCATATAATCTGATTTTAATATTATAAAAGAATAATTCATATTCATTTGACTTTATTAAAATAAATTTTATTCATAAATAGTAATCCATACATTTTGACAAATATTAAAGAAAAGATGGAATATCTTTATTTTATTTGAAGTAATTATTATTAGTATGAATATTCTGATTAATAAAATAGATAATAAATTATTAATATTTTAAGATTAATGAACTTAATTAATACATTTTACAATAAATAATATATTTGAGATCTAATAAACTATACCTTATATAATAATATTCTGCCATTTAATATTATATTTAATTTAGTTTTCAATTACTATTCATAAAACTATAATTTTTGTATCTATAAATATATTATTTTAATCTAAATAATCTTAAACATCATTTTATACTTAAGATTGAAATAATTTGATTAATCTAATTAAATTTAGATTTAGATTTTACTTATTCACTATGAAATAAAGTAGACAATTGAAATTAAGTATGATCTCACATTTGTTGATCATATATATTAAAAAAATATACCATAAATAAAAATATAAAATGAATTTTGGAAAACCAAGAAGTGCCTCTTCTGGATCAACATGGGAAAAACTTAAAAAGTCAGTATATCCTACAAATAAAGCAGAAAGAGAGAAGAGGAAGAAGCAATTTCTTGATGTTGCAATTTTTGTTGCTTCTATAGTGGTTGTTAGTGTATTTGAAAAAAGAATTCAAACTCTCCTTAAAGTTGATAAATCAGAATTAACTTAATTCAGCAACATGTAACAATCAATGCACGCAGCCTATTGATTAATAAAAATAAATAATATATATGAATTGTAAAATTGTGACATCTCTTAAATTATTTCAAAGAGTTATGACAATCAAATCTCAATCTATATCTTTGAGGAACTGATTAACATGATAAATACTATTAATAATATTATGATTAAAATGGAAAACCTATTAGAAGAATAAGTGAAACAATTGACAAAATGGCATTATATTTTCATCAATTATTCAATTAGTGGATATAAAATATAAGAGATAAACATATTCAGAATTAAGATAAAATATTATTAATAAATATTGAGTTAATGAATAACAAGATGAAGATCTAAGAGAAAATAATAAAAATAAAATGCAAATTAAAATGAAATTCAATTATGAATAATTATATATATATAATTCTTAATCAATATCAAATATTGCTAATTAAATATAATTAATAAACATAAATATAGATTTTAAACTGGGCTAAATGCATCGATTTATTAATAAGAAATTCAATTATAATTTTTCAATCTATACTATTTCACATATAGTTGGATAATAATAATAATTATTATTGTTTTATGAAATATCTCAAATTTACTAAATTATTAACAATAAATTCATTTAATATTTATTAGGCTATTATTTTAATCTATTTCATAATTTTTATATTTTTATTAAAGATACTATTATAACTTATTAAAAGATGTATAAGATTTAAGGTATTAAATAATATCATGCCTTAAATTGATCTTGTTTTAAATAACATCATAATAGCTAAGTAAATGGTCTATTTAAATCATAATTATTCATCTCTTTATTATTATTTTATTAATATAACTAAAGAAATTTATAGTCATATTGATATTAATACTTGAGATTTGTATTAAGCATATCTAAAATAAATATATAATATAATTTGAAAAAATTTATTTATAAATCCTCTATATTTAATTTTCATACTCTTAAAATCAGAGGAAAACAAGAGGAATTTAAATTGAACTAACAGAAGTTGATTAATGACTTTATTAATTATATGTATTTAATTTAATCACTAGAAGGAATTTAAGCATTTAAAGTATTGGGTTTGGTATTTTGCTTATAAATATGAGTTTGAAGTTAGAAGCCATCAAGAAATGAATATTAAGTATTTGCTTAATTTTCAAAAGGATTCGATACTATTTAAAAATTTTTTAGGTTATCTGAATTCATAAAGGCAAATTATTGAAAATACTTGATTAATAAATAATAATTAAGATTAATTCTTTTCTTTTTGGAATATGAGATC